GCCGCGCCTCCACTCCCACCGCCTCCACCCCCACCTCCTCCGCCGCCACCCCCACCCCTGCCCCCCTTGTTCCTGCGGCGCCCACTCGAAGCAGACGCGGTCCCGACCTTCTCAGCACCAAGAAGGTCGACAGCAGCAGCAGAGGCTACAGAGGGGAGGAGGGGGGAAGGGGAACACCCCTCAAAGAACGGGGTGCGGGGGTCGCCACGAGAGGTGCCTACAGCGACGATGCTCGCCTCAGCTGCAAGCAGTTCCTTCTCGAGGAGGGCAACAGTGAGCTCAGTGGGGGAGCGAGAGAGGAAGTGGTCCCTGACTGCGCGCAGAGAGTCAGGAAGGCGGGTGACGATGTGGTAGAGAGTGATCCAGAGCGGGGGGGGGTTGCTAGTGAGAAACTCGGCAGGCATAGCAGCGCGAAAGCGGGCCTCACTAGTCTTAAGGTGGGTGATGAGGTCTGCGACAGTGTGAAAGGAGGCTAGGTCGGGGAACAGGTAGGGGAGAGTGAGGCGGCCTAGCGTGGCAGAAGCTGGCGAGGAGTAGCGGGCAACTACAGCGGTGTAGAGGTCCTTAGCAGTCTTGCACTGGCCGAAGTGCTCGCGCTCGTCTAGCGGCAGGGAGTTGCGAATAGCAAAGCGAGCGTGCGCATCACGGGTCTGCCACTGGGAACGCAGAGTGCTGTCAGCAGTCGAGTCAGGGGCAGTGGCATGGCCTAGGGCGTGGTCGTACAGTGAGATATCTTCCTTGGTAGTGAGCTGTAGGAACAGGTGCAGGTCATCTAGCCAGGTTTCGAACTTCACTGGACGGCCCTCGGCATCGAAAGCTAGAACTGGCGGACTAGCCATAGTGACAGTAGCAGTAGTAACAGTAGTAGTAGGAATCAGGCCGCTGGAAAGGTGTGCGGAGGGTCAACGGGGCCGGCGGGGCCGCTAGGCAAGGCGCGGGCGGGGTCGACTGTCCGTAGTGGCACACGAGCGGCAGTAGTAGGTAGCGTGGCAGCAGGAGCTGCAACGGTGCACTGGTGGCAGCTGCAGTGGCAGCAGTGCGCGCGGTAGGTAGAAGGTAAACAACAGTGAGAGCGAGTGCCTCGCGGGCGGCGGCTGCAGAAGCGCACAGGCGGCAGCGGCGCACTGGGAACGGCGGTGCACGGGCAGCGGGAGCGCACGGGCAGCGGCAGCGTAGGAGCAGCGACGGCGCACGGGCAGCGGCGGCGCACAGGCAGCGGCGGCGCTCGGGAGGCAGCAGTGCGCAAGCAGCAGCGGAAGCAGCGGCGTACGAGCGGCTGCGGGCAGCGGGGCGTGCGCTAGCAGGCGACGGGCGGCTGCGGGGCGTGCACGAGCAGGCGACGGGCGGCTGCGGGGCGTGCGCGAGCAGGCGACGGGCGGCTGCGGGCGGGCGGCCGCTGCGACAGCGGGCTGCGGGCCTGCGGGACGTGCGCGAGCAGGCGACGGGCGGCTGCGGGGCGTGCGCGAGCAGGCTACGAGCGGCTGCGGGGCGTGCGCTAGCAGGCGACGGGCGGCTGCGGGGCGTGCGCGAGCAGGCGACGGGCGGCTGCGGGGCGCGCGCGAGCAGGCGACGGGCCGCGCGCGAGGGAAATAAGGCGCGCGCGGGAAAAAAAAAAGGCCGCGCGTGAGCGGCTAAGGGGCGGCGCGACGGGGCCTTAAGGGGCGGGTCGCGGGTCGCGGGAGGTAGGGGCCGTAAAAAAAGTTCGAGGCGCCCTAGGTAGGTAGGTAACGGTGGGCCCTTAAAAAAAACGGTCCTAGCGAAGGACCTGCTCTGATACCATGTCAGAATGAACGGACAGGAATGACTGTACTAGCACAAAGTTGGATACAAGTAGTAAACCCTAATCTAGTGTACCCCCTAAGGTGTAACCCACTACAGCCTACAATCATATAAACATATAATGTTTGACAGCCCTGCTTGCAGCGCGCCACCCCGTCCTACCTACAAGCCGCCCTGCTCTGGCCGCGCGCCGCCCTTCCCTGGCCGTGCGCCGCCCCTCCTTGCCCTGCGCGCTTCCTTAGTGCCCGCGCGCCGCCCTGCCCGTCGCGCCGTCCTACTGCCTGCGCGCCACCCTGCCTTGCCTGCGTGCTGCCCTGCTGGTCGCGCGCCACCCTGCTCTGCCCGCTATGGCATCTCTTAGTGTTCTCACATTTGATTCTGAGAGCATTCGATCCAGTTTGAGACCTGGCTAGACGACTTACAACTATACCTATAGAGCGAGTCTAGGGACAGCGTCTCCTTGTTTGACCACACGTCTGGGACCTCTCTCACTCCTCCCGAGACAGCTGACCGCTCACAGTGGCATATTCGTGACGCTACTGCTCGCCTCGCCGTTCGCAACCACCTGCCGTTAGCCGAATGCGTCCACTGTGGCCAGCACAAGACTGCTAAAGTACCGTTCGACGATGTAGTCGCTCGTTACTGCTCCCCTGCCACTGCTGCTCTGGGCCGACTCATGCTGCACTACCTCTTTCCCGAGCTGTCAGACTTTCCCACAGTCGCCGACCTCATCACACATCTTCGCACCAGCGACACTCGTTACCGCGCCGCGCTTAAACCCGAGTTTCTAGATGAGAAACCCCCCCCCCCCCCCCCCCCCCCCCCCCCCCCCCCATGTACATCACTCTCTACTTCATCGTCACCTGCCTCTCTGGCTCCTCTTCGCGCAGTCAGGGACCATTTTCTCGCCCTTGACCCCACATACCTCACTGTCGACCTTCTCGAGAAGCACCTCCTTGCAGCTGAGACTAGCATAGTCGCTGTAGGTGCTTCTCGTGGCACTCCTCGCACTCCCTTCTTTGAGGGGTGTTCCCCCTCCCCCTGTCGCTTTTGAGCTGCTGTTGACTTCCTTCATGCTGAGAAGGTCGGGGCTGCGTCTGCTCCTAGTGAGGGGCGCCGCAGCGGCAAGGGCAAGGGAGGCAAGAGTGGTGGGGTTGGCGACGGTGGAGGCGGTGGTGGAGGGGGTGGAGGCGGTGGAGGTGGCGGTGGTGGCGGTGGGAGTGGTGGTGGGAGTGGAGGCGTCGGTGGTGGCAGTGGTGGTAGCGGTGGGAGTGGTGGCGACGGTGGTGGCAGCAGTGGGAGTGGTGGCGGCGGCAGTGGTGGCGGTCGGGGTGGAGCCGTCTAGAGGGGAGGTTCTGACGGTGGCCAGAGGCAGCAGCAGCAGCGTCCGTGCGAGGCCCTTACGCCCCAGCAGCTTCGTGAGTGGTTTGCTCGACGCACCCGCCTTCGAAGTGGCGCAGTTAGTGCTGAGGGTGATTGTTACCTGTGTGTGCCGCCCGACCCAGGTATAGAGTCTGCTGCTCTAGGTGCTAGTGCATCTGCTCTCTCTGGTACTGCGCCTGCTAAGGCCTTGCACACCTTCATGCTTGACTCAGGTGCTTCCCGCTGCTTCTTTCGCGACAGTACCACAGTCACACCACTCCCTGCACCTGTTGCAGTCTCTCTGGCTGACCCCTCAGGGGGCCCGGTTCTTGCACGTTCCTCCACTATTCTCCCGTGTCCGGCGGTTCCGTCTGGCTCACTCTCAGGTCTTCACCTCCCCTCGTTCTCTACAAACTTGGTGAGGTCCGCTGCCCTCCAGGATGCGATGGTCACTACCACCACGCCTAGGGGTCAGCGTGTGTCGATCTGCACTTGTAGACGGACGGGCCGTCACCTGGCCACGTTCACCCATCGGCCTGGGTCGAGCTTGTACACACTAACTACTGAGCCCACTTAGGTGGCTGCGTCTGATCAGGTGTTGCAATGGCTTAGGCATGGAGGTGGCTCGTACCTCCTGTCGTTCATTCTTCCGGCCTCCCTGCAGCAGAATGAGATTGTTGAGCGTTGCAATGGCTTAGTCATGAAGGTGGCTCGTACCTCCTTGATCCATGCAGCTGCTCCCAATTTTCTATGGCCGTTTGCGGTTTGGTATGCTGCACACCAGCTCAACCTCTGGCCCCGTGTCTCCTTGCCGGAGACCTCGCCTACACTGCGTTGGACGGGGGAGGTTGGCGATGCGTCGGTGTTCCGAGTCGGTGGCTCTCGTGCCTTTGTCCACGATACCTCTGTGGACAAGCTCTCCTCCCGCACCATTCCTTGTGTCTTCCTTGGCTTTCCCATTGACGCGCCTGGCTGGCAGTTTTACCACCCCACCACGCGCCGTGTCCTGTCCTCTCAGGACGTCACGTTTGACGAGTTGGTTCCCTTTACCAGTCCGCGCCTTGTCGGTAAACAGTGGGTTGTCAACGCTGTTTTGCGAAATTTTCTTTTTTCGTATGATTCACGCGAGATTTTTGTTAAGACGAAAAAAAAAAAAAAGCTAATTCGATTTCGATTTCTTCGCTACTGCTGCAACTCGCAAATGTTGTGCAGCCCGAGAGGCTTACCGTAGATGGGTTCGAACACAGTAGTATCTATTGTAGTGAATTTTTCGCATGTATATAAAGGCCCTGTTTTGATATGATCAAGCTGCCTCGTTTTTGCATGATGCACAATTTACTTGGTGTAAGGTCTTAAGCAACTATGTATGTGCGAGGATTCTGAAATATGACTTTCGACAACAATCTCGTACAACTTCCAACATGCTCTCAATCGCGTACGTCATCGAGATTGTTCCCTGCTGGTCTGTCTCCCTCCTCGACAACATTTCTTGTTGTTTGGACAAGGGTGTGACAGTCGGTAGTGTCTCGACGCGCGTATCACGATTCACCGCAGCTGCTCCATCGATACTCGCGCACATCGCGACGCGACCGTGCCGTGACTCGCCTGCCAGAGCTCTCGGATCTGCCAGAAACACTTGTCCTCGTCATCACCGAAATTGGTTAGGATCAAACTTTCGGAGACCTGGTTGAAGTTCACGCGTCGCACGTTGCTTCGAAGGATGGTATAGCAGGTTTCGGTCTTACAGAGGCGCACGGAGTTTTTATTGTAGATATACTGTATCTATCTGTACATATGGACACAAAGCAGACATAGTTGTTTAGTTTTTCTCAAGACGCCCGCGTTCCGACGCAGAGAGCATGGCGGTCGGCGCGGGATGGTTGTGGCATCCCGCGGAGGTGCGGCGAGACGAGCTGAAGGCGGGCGACCACATCTTCTCGTGGCGCATCGGCATGTCTTATTCTCACCATGGTACCGTGCGTGGTACTCATGCCTCGTCTACTCTCACCATGGTACCTCGTGTGTAAATCAGGTTACCTCCCATGTCACCCTCTACCCTGGGAGTGTACGTGGATGTACGTGGATGCATATGAAGCCACCTGCAGCAGTACGACGTACCTTTACACGAATCCCTCCCTGCTCGTCTTCCCCACCGCTTGTCTACCGCAGGAGTGTACGTGGGAGCGGACGAGGTGATTCACTTCACGCGCCAGCAGGCCGACGAGATCGGCTCCAACGCCCTCCTAGACTACGCTGCTTCCGTCTCCCCCGCCCTTCAACGCACCTCAACCATCCCCCCTAACACTGCTGATGCTGCTGGGGTTGCTGCTGCTGGACCTGGTGGCGGTGCAGGTTCGGCGCCGTGCCGAGCCTGTGGCACGGAGGATAGCAGTCACGGTGTCATCTCGTCGTGCCTGCGGTGCTTCTTGCACGGCGGCCGGCTGTTCAGATTCGACTACGCCGTGTCGGTGGGGAGCTTCTGCCTGCAGATGCGAGGCGGCACGTGCAGCATGGCCGAGCCTGATCCCCCCCATGCCGTGGTGCAGAGGTATGATTGAACGGGCCCGTAGAGAGGTATGTGAGGAAACACAGGCGATGGGGAGCTTCTGCCTGCAGATGCGAGGCGGCACGTGCAGCATGGCCCAGCCTGATCCGGCTCATGCCGTGGTGCAGAGATATGTCAGGACTGATTGGTGCCCCGCATACTGTGGAACTGATGTGGGATTGAGTGTGTTGACACACAGCTACTGTTGAGAAGTATGTCACGACGTACAGCTACTGTTGAGAAGTATGTCACGACATACAGCTACTGTTGAGAAGTATGTCACGACATACAGCTACTGTTGAGAAGTATGTCACGACATACAGCTACTGTTGAGAAGTATGTCACGACATACAGCTACTGTTGAGAAGTATGTCACGACATACAGCTACTGTTGAGAAGTATGTCACGACATACAGCTACTGCCTGTAGATGCGAGGCGGCACGTGCAGCATGGCCCAGCCTGATGCCCCCCATGCCGTGGTGCAGAGGTGTGTCAGGGAAGGTTGATGCACGTGGTGCTATGATAGAGAGGGATATGTGTGAGGACGTATCGTTTTGCAGCGCTTGATTGGTTTGCAGCACGTGCAGCATGGTGCTGCCTGATGCTCTGCATGCTGTGCTGTGGTGCGGAGGAATTTCAGTGTGCCTGATGCTGTGACACAGAGGCAGGATGAGGAGGAGGGCGCATTGGTGCATCCTGTGCAAGACGCACGCCCTCATCACGACCTATCCCTGCTCTTGTGATCCCATGACTCCTGCTCTCTGCTTTCCTGCAGGGCGCGTCTGCTCTTGAAGGAAGGCTTTTGAAGCTACCACATGCTGGACAACAACTGTTGGGGCTTCGCCCCCCCCCCCCCCCCCCCCCTCCCCCCTCATCACGTCCCATGCCAGCCCCTAAACGATTCCTCTTCCACTGTATTTTCCCCTGACGCAGGGCGCGGTTGCTCCTGAAAGGGGGTTTTGGGCGCTACCACGTGCTGGACAACAACTGTGAGGACTTTGCCGTGTTATGCAAGACCCGTGCACTTGTGCTGAAAGCTGTTCTCCTGCATGTTCTCTCTGACATGTCTCCCACTCTCTGCTCTCCTGCAGGGCTCGTCTGCTCTTGAAGGAAGGGTTCGGGCGCTACCACGTGCTGGACAACAACTGTGAGGACTTTGCCGTGTTCTGCAAGACGCGTGCACTCGTGGTGGACAAGACACGCGTGGGCACCAGCGGCCAGTCCGCTGCTTTCTTCGGGTTCAACTTTGCCTCTGCCACCGCTGCCGTGCCCTTGCTGCTCGTAGGGCCCCTGGCTGCTGCTGCTGTGTTTGCAGGTGAGGTGGGAGGGGTAGGAAGGGATGGTGAGGGGTTGGAAGGGGTTGGGAACAGGTGGGCAGGAATGGGGAGTGGGAGGGGATGAGACTTCTGCCTCTGCTGCTTTTCTGATTGTGCTGATTGGCAGGGGTGAGAAGTTGGTGAGATGGTGCACATGGTGGTGGCATGGCTGGTGTACCGTATGTATGTGCTCGCAGCTGACTAGACTGAGGTAGCGCCCGCCTTAACGCTCCCATGTATGTCTCTCAACTTCTTGCGCTGCTGGTCGGCGGTGGTTGGCATTGTGTGGTGTGCGCGTGTCTGTATGTCTGGTGTGTGTGTGTTCGTGTGCTGTGTGAGTGTGCGTCTCTGTGTGAGTGTGCAGGGTCGTACAGCCTGAGCCGAGTGGCGCTGGATGTGGGGGTGAGGAGGGACGTGGTGAAGGTGGAGGGGGAGGAGCTGGTGGCGAGTCTCAAGGGTGGGGGAAGGATGTGCGGGGATGGGACTGGAGGAAGGAGGGGAAAGGACGGGGTGGAGATGGTGGTTGCAAGGATGAGAGGGGGTGTAGATGTGCAAGGGGAGGTGTGCCCGCAGCTGCTTTAAGTACTAAGTAGTCTGTAGCTTGTGTACTGTAATGTAAGCGTTCTATGTTATTACGTGGTAGTTATGACATGCGCTTCAGTGTTCTATGGAGTGTGTTTTAGTCGTTCTTCTGTAGTTAACTCTTGATTTAGAGTTGGAAGGTAAGAGGCTATTTGTGCTTCTGATGCGATTTTGTTTGCCTCTCAAAAGGGGGAAACGCAGTTGTATTTTTGAGCTTCGGTAATGCAATGTACAGATGTGGTTGTGACTTGACTATAGGTGAGGATCGTGCCACGTTTGCCGTAGGCTCACGTGGCATTTCGAGGTCCTCGCTGCCTCGTCAGATCAGCGAAAGCTGTCGTCAGCTCTGTGGTTTGAGCCACGCCACGACGAATGTTGACTCAACACTGAGGTGTACGGCCACCATCGCCAACCCAATTAACTCCTTTTGTGTTACCCGAATGTCTGCCCGTCCTAATGTTTTATGCTACTCTCCCAGAAAGGCAAACCGCGAGGAGGGTCTAGGTCGCGGAAGTAGAGTCAGTTCAACCTCGCAGAGAGATCTGTTGCAGACGGGACAAGATATTCTCAAATGCAATCGCGGGTGTGGTTATGTGTTCTACTCGATAGCCCTCAAAATCACTGGCAAATTGAATGTGTGCTACGTTGCAAGGAAGAGATCGCAAGTGTACTCGTGATTCTTGGACCACGAAGCCTCTTGTACACTGACAAATTGACAGTCCACCTAGCAGTTCAATGGTAATTGTTCAGCTAATTTCATTTAGCCATTTGTGGTCTTCCTGTTGGTGATTCTGTTTCACCTTCTCCTAATAGCCATTTCCCTCTACTTCCCACGTCCCTACAATGGCTGCTACCACCGCGGTTCGTGCCGTGGTCATCCCTGCGTCGCTGCAAAGGCAGCGGATGTCAGGCAGCTCTGCTGATTCTGCGTCAACGAAACAGTTACCACTTCGACAAACTTTGTCAATTCGTGCACGCGCGCAGGCCTCCCCACAATCCGACAGCTCCGCAAAGGACGGATCTGCCTGGAAACACGAAGTCGCGAGATTGGTGCAAGAATCCGCGAAACTCGTCGTCGCCACGTCCGCGAGTGTGGCCGTCGCCCTGTCAGCAGGTAACACGCTCGCAAATTCTGTCGCTGTGCCTTTTCGCGCGAGCCCGCTAGAGCCGGGCGAAGGAGTTCGTAGCCATTGATTGGCTCGACAAACTCCAACATTGCGCAGTCCGAATCTGGCGTTTGTCGTCGCAATCCACCCTGCCCTTTCTCTTAATCCGAAACGAAAACATCTTTAGGATGAAAATAATCTAGGTAAGACGCGCACTTGCTGCATCGCCGTTTGCCAGCACGAATGTCATTCACGAGAACCACTAGTTCCCAACTTCGCGAAGTCATGACAGCATGGTGGAATGGAGCAGCCATGGTGAGGTTGGTTGCTTGTCAACACTGTGAAATTCAACCAACATGGCCTCGCTATACATCGACCCAACCAGACCCCAGCTGAATTCTCCTCAACGTTTCACGAATCGTGACCCCGGCAGGCCTAGGGATTGCCGAGGCGCGGCCAGAGGGGGTGAACAAGCCGGAGCTGCTGCCCAAGGAGTTCACTACCGTCATTGACGTCGCGGACTTCCTCTCCACCGGCCAGGTAAGCCAGACGGCTGTCCGTCTAGGATGGGCGATGTAGAGTGTTGATGCGATGCTGTGCGGAACCAGGTTTCCACCGTCATCGACGTCGCAGGGTTCCTCTCCGCCGGCCAGGTAAGCCAGACGGCTAGCCGCCCGGATGGGAGGTACTTACGTGTTGGAGTGAGTGTGTGGGAGAGTGCGAGATTGTGTGAGGGAGTGAGAGGGTTTGCGAGACAGTGAGAGGTTGTGGGAGAGGATGAGGGGACTAGCGTGTGTGCGAGAGGGTGAGGGTGAGTGCCAGCTGGGTGCAGCGCGGGAAAAAAGTCATATATGTATTGCTCTGAAGTACCAGAGTCTTTTCAGCTCCTGTTAAAAACTAACCGCCTTGGGGAAATCGACCATGTTTGGATTATCCATGTGGTGTAGGCGCCAAGGCGGCGACAGCTGGTTCTCCTCTTTCTCAAATTTCCTGTCCTGCTTCTGCCTGTCTGCGCGCGCAGGAGCAACGGCTGGCCAAGGATGTGGAGAGATTGGAGCAGGACACGGGGTATAAACTGAGGATACTTGCGCAAAATTACCCCAACACTCCGGGTAAATTGCAAACATATAGCAACAATGTGCATAGCTCTCCAGTGCATGCTACACATTGCGACATTCTAGTAACAATTTTCACAAGCGTCCCCCTCTCTCCCACTCCTTCCTCTCATCTACCACTCTAACGCGTATTTTCTCTCCTGTTGCTGTGCTGCCGCCCTTCCGTGTTGTGCGTGCATGGCAGGGTTGGCGATTCGGGACTACTGGGGGGTGGATGATGAGACTGTGGTGTTCGTTGCTGATCCCAACATGGGTGAGTGTAACTCTAGCTTGGGTATGCTGCATGGGTAAGCCGCATGGGTATGCCGCATGGGTATGCTGCATGGGTATGCTGCATGGGTATGCTGCATGGCTAATGGGCATGGTGCATGGTGCATGGTGCATGGTGGATGGGCATAATCTGTGACCCACTGTCTCTCGCCGCAAATCATATCTTCTACAACCCTGCCTTTCTCCCCGGCTCCCACGACTCAGGCAACCTCCTGAACTTCAACGTCGGTGCAACCGTGGACCTGTCGGTTCCCAGAAGCTTCTGGAGCCGGCTAGCAGGCAAGTACGGTAATGTGTTCTACTGGCGGGAGAAGGGCGAGGATGCAGCAATAGAGGCTGCTGTGATTGCGATTGACCACTGCCTGAGGGAGGACCCCGGGCCCAGGCAGTGCGCTGAGATTAAGTAGATGAAGCTGCTGCTGCAGTGCTGCACGGGTAGGGTGGGTGGGGGTATGGGGCCTGCTAGGTGGGGAAGGGCGAGGATGCGGCGATTGAGGCAGCTGTGATTACCATTGACCACTGCCTGAGGGAGGCTTCTGGGCCCAGGCAGTGCGCTGAAATTAAGTAGATGCCACAGCGATGCTGTGAACTGTGCAAGGTGTACATGCGGTCTGGCAGCCTGTTCTGTTACAGGTATGTTGAGATCAATCTCGGTTATATTAAAAAATTCAGATTTCAATCAGAGACTCCTGTGGTAGCTGTTGATCATCTCTTCTGGGACAACCTGGTGGAACTCGTCAGGGCATTGAGATCAAGTACGGTAGACACTAAATGCAAGGATGTGAAGTGTTTAGGGCTGCCACACATGCTTCCTGTACAATAGGTGCAGCGCTGGATAACTCTTGAGTTCTTTTGGAAGGGATCCATGAGTATAGTGGGATCAAGTATATGCTCTTGCAAAAATGTGAAGTGTTCAGCCTCACGCATATGCTTCTGCCGTGCAGTAGATGTTGTGCCAGTGGGATACAAGAGAAGGGTAAGGTTGTGAGGTAGAGACTGCCATTCTGCCTCGTGTTGAAGAAAAGCTACCGGTATCTGTTCTGATTTTCCCTGAGTGTTTATGTGCTGTGAATTCCCGATTGAGCATACACTGCTTTGTTTTCCTACAAGAATGTATAAATGGAGGAAAGGAAACGTAATGCTACAAAAATGGCACCTGTATATACACTCTTTCATAATTGCGGTACATACAACTCACAAGCAGGGCTGATTCTTCCCTCAACCACTAACAATACATATGGGTATGGTTTGATCACCATATTCCCTAGCAACAAGGAATCAGACTGTTTCTTCATGCTCCCTCACCACCGTTCCCCCCCTCTCTCCAAGACCTTAACACAACACCGCTGGGTGCACAGAACAAGCCCCATTGACGGCTCACTTGCAATGACCCTGGCCAGTGCAGATGCCAGCCGTCTCCCACTCGTAGCGAAAGTGTGCTCCGAGTCACTTGCAGCGAAAGTGTGCTCCGAGTCACTTGCAACATAAGTGTGCTCCGAGTCACTTGCAGCGAAAGTGTGACCCTCTTTTAGGTTCAGCTCTGGGCCAGCTATGGCAAGGCTGACATCAGCAGCAGCCTACGCTGACATCAGCGACGCACTCTGACATCACTTCAGCAGCTGCGGCTGCCGTCCCCCAGAGCCTTGATAAAGTCCCGAATCACATCCTTGCCCTTGATGAGGTGGCTCCATCCCAGCCGTTCATTCTGTGATACACCAAAGAGATAAGGAGGGCTAGAGTTCAGAGGAGGGAGGGGGGAAAGGGGCTTGCCTCTCACATGAATCACAACCCTGTCTGATTTGGGCGGAAGGCAAATTCACACACCTGAAGCAAGCAAACTGCCATTTGTTGCTAGCAACTACCAGGAAAACCTTCAGATACACCTGAAACAAACGTGCTTCTGTTGCCACCACCTGAGAAGCACCCTGAAGCCCACCTGGAGTGCACTGCCGTCGGTGGCCTGGCTGATGGGAATCTTGATGGCCGGCGCTCCCAAGGCTGCCTCCAAGAAAGGCACCACCGGCATTGTGCCGCCCTCCCTGATGTACCTGTGGGGGGTGGGGGTGGCGGAGAAAATAATAGGCTGATGCTAAAGACGGCACCACCGGGATCGTGCCGCCCTCCCTGATGTACCTGTGGGGGGTGGGGATGGAGGATGGAATAACAGGCTGATTCCAAAAACCATCGTGCCGCCCTCCCTGATGTACCTGTGGGGGGTGGGGATGGAGGATGGAATAACAGGCTGATTCCAAAAACCATCGTGCCGCCCTCCCTGATGTACCTGTGGGGGGTGGGGATGGAGGATGGAATAACAGGCTGATTCCAAAAACCATCGTGCCGCCCTCCCTGATGTACCTGTGGGGGGTGGGGATGGAGGATGGAATAACAGGCTGATTCCAAAAACCATCGTGCCGCCCTCCCTGATGTACCTGTGGGGGGTGGGGATGGAGGATGGAATAACAGGCTGATTCCAAAAACCATCGTGCCGCCCTCCCTGATGTACCTGTGGGGGGTGGGGATGGAGGATGGAATAACAGGCTGATTCCAAAAACCATCGTGCCGCCCTCCCTGATGTACCTGTGGGGGGTGGGGATGGAGGATGGAATAACAGGCTGATTCCAAAAACCATCGTGCCGCCCTCCCTGATGTACCTGTGGGGGGTGGGGATGGAGGATGGAATAACAGGCTGATTCCAAAAACCATCGTGCCGCCCTCCCTGATGTACCTGTGGGGGGTGGGGATGGAGGATGGAATAACAGGCTGATTCCAAAAACCATCGTGCCGCCCTCCCTGATGTACCTGTGGGGGGTGGGGATGGAGGATGGAATAACAGGCTGATTCCAAAAACCATCGTGCCGCCCTCCCTGATGTACCTGTGGGGGGTGGGGATGGAGGATGGAATAACAGGCTGATTCCAAAAACCATCGTGCCGCCCTCCCTGATGTACCTGTGGGGGGTGGGGATGGAGGATGGAATAACAGGCTGATTCCAAAAACCATCGTGCCGCCCTCCCTGATGTACCTGTGGGGGGTGGGGATGGAGGATGGAATAACAGGCTGATTCCAAAAACCATCGTGCCGCCCTCCCTGATGTACCTGTGGGGGGTGGGGATGGAGGATGGAATAACAGGCTGATTCCAAAAACCATCGTGCCGCCCTCCCTGATGTACCTGTGGGGGGTGGGGATGGAGGATGGAATAACAGGCTGATTCCAAAAACCATCGTGCCGCCCTCCCTGATGTACCTGTGGGGGGTGGGGATGGAGGATGGAATAACAGGCTGATTCCAAAAACCATCGTGCCGCCCTCCCTGATGTACCTGTGGGGGGTGGGGATGGAGGATGGAATAACAGGCTGATTCCAAAAACCATCGTGCCGCCCTCCCTGATGTACCTGTGGGGGGTGGGGATGGAGGATGGAATAACAGGCTGATTCCAAAAACCATCGTGCCGCCCTCCCTGATGTACCTGTGGGGGGTGGGGATGGGGGAGAAAACTAGGCTGATTTTGAAGGCAGCACCACCAGAATCATGCTGAACTATCTGATCTACCTATGGTGGGCGGGGATGGAGGAGGGGATAACCCAAGGAGGCCAGACGGGATAAGCAGGGCCTTTCAGGCCCCTCACACTGTGTTCTCAGCAATGCTCTTGAGAATAGACTAAGGTCGGACGGGTGGATGAGGGGAATAAGAAAAAAGGATAATTTGACAGCTGTTGAGACAGGGGAGATGTCAAGGGCCCTGTCGCCACGAACTCTGAACCGCTTTTGGGAATTCTCAAAAGCGACTCTGAACTGGAATCCTTAAGGCTCATACCTCACGTTCTGAGATGCATACATGTTTCTTTTTGAGCTGCCTTCCTCGCATCTCCAAATCCTTTCGAAAGAAATGGGCTTTTGCTCTGTCTCGTAAAATGCCAACATGGCTTGTTATGACACGACATGGAGCACACCCGAACCACACCATAAGGTGACTACAAGTGAACAATTGTGATAAAATTTCGCGAAGGACTACAATCATATTCCAAGCTTATGTAGGCGGCAGGTCCCAGTGGCAGTGAAGGGGTTTAGGACTCACATGGGCGGCATGTCCCAGTGCCTGTGAATGCACTTCTCTGCGAGCTGGTAGAAGGAGCAGGAGGGGTCCGCCAACCACCTGGGAGAGGGGCGTGCAAACAACGGAGGATGTGTGATCATGGAATGAAGGACACTTGGACGTGCACTCAGTGAATGGGCACTGCGAGCTACTAGAAGGAGTAGGAGAGACTGGCCAACCATTTGCATGTATGTATGTATGTATGTATGTATGTATGTATGCATGTATGTATGTATGTATGCATGTATGTATGTATGCATGTATGCATGTATGCATGTATGCATGTATGCATGTATGCATGTATGCATGTATGTGTGTATGTGTGTATGTGTGTATGTGTGTATGTGTGCATGCATGTATGTAGATGCATGCATGTATGCATGTATGGATGCATGTATGCATGCATAAGTATGTACGTATGAATGTATGCATGTATGCATGTATGAATGTATGCATGTATGTGTGTATGTGTGTATGCATGCATGTCGCTATGCATGTATGTATGTATGTATGTATGTATGTATGCATGCATGCATGCATGCATGCATGCATGCATGCATGCATGCATGCATGCATGCATGCATGCATGCATGCATGCATGCATGCATGCATGCATGCATGCATGCATGCATGCATGGATGGATGGATGGATGGATGGATGCATGTATGTATGTATGTATGTATGTATGTATGTATGTATGTATGTATGTATGTATGTATGTATGTATGTATGTATGTATGTATGTATGTATGTATGTATGTATGTATGTATGTATGCATGTACGTATGTGTGTATGTGTGTACGTGTGTACGTGTGTAGGTGTGTATATGTGTATGTGTGTATGCATGCATGTGTGTGTGTGTGTGCGTGTGTGTGTGTGTGTGTGTGTGTGTGAGTGTGTGTGTGTGTGTGTACGTACGCATGTATGTATGCGCGGGTGTGTATGTGTGCGTGTATGCGTATGTGAGCCCACTCACCACTCACCAGTGCGCCTGTGTACGTGTGCATCAAACCACCACTCACCAGTCGCCCACGTGCTCAACAGTGACAGCCACGGAGTTGCCGGCCGATCGCAGCTTGGCAAACTCATGAGCCACGTGCGCCCGGAAGCGATGCACCAGGCGGTCGGGATTCTGGTTCGGCACGTGCCGGATCACCACCTGCCATGCGGAGTGGAAGGGGCGGAATGTACAAGAATGGACAGAAACATTGGCTCTGGTTTGACACGTGCCGCATCACCACCTGCAATGGGGATTACAAGGGGCGAAGGGAAGACCTGTATTGGTTCGGCACATCCTGGGTGAGTGCGTCACATAAACTTGTGTTCCTTAATCTTCTATGTAGTAGGAATTGAAAGTTGGTTATGGATATGTTTGGAAGTACAGACGTGTTACACAGATATTCCTCTTTTCGTATCAAATGTAAATGAATTAACTATTATACTTGGTACTAAGCGTAGGTGCGTCGCATAACAATGTTTTTGGTAAAAACGAAGGAGCAAGGAAGGGAAGGCGAAATACGGCTTAAAAAAGAGAGCAGGGGTGGAAGGATGGAAGTCGGTTTGAAGAAAAGGGGAGGAAACACGGACAGCACTTCTCGGCAAACATATAAAAATTGTCTTCTAGAATTGCGGCCGGATAGAGGAGAGCCGCGGATCAAATGATTCTGGCGGAAGGAAGTAAGGAACCTACCCTGGCGGAGGCGGCTTTGGGGAGGGAGGACCAGGAGGGACATACCCTAGCGGAGGCAGCTTTGGGGAGGGAGGAGCAGGAGGGACATACCCTAGCGGAAGCAGCTTTGGGGAGGGAGGACCAGGAGGGTGCGCAGGAGGGCGAGGTGGAGACGCCCAGCACGCTCAGCGACGGGCTGCGCCAGCAGCTCTGCAGCACCTCCCTCGCCGTGCCCCCCGTCACTGCCCTAAGCCCGTTGCGTGCCTGCCATGGTGAAGTGGGGGAGGGAGAAGAGGGGGGACGGTTTGAAAGGAGAGGAAGGAGGGGCATGCAGACAGTCACTCTACAACGGAAGTGGACTACATGGGAGGTTGCGGGTTGTACAAGGTGATCTGAGCGTTACCTAACACCTGTTCAAATTTGTTATACTCGTGGAAAGAATTGACAAGAGTTGCACTAGCAAAAGTTGGTATAACAAACACATAATGGCAGAACAAGTCGACATAGCAGGAACATAATGCAACACACTTAGCAACCTAACAAGTCGACCTCCAGCGTAGCCAACGCTGCAACTTAAGTTGGAGAATACACAAATGCGCTTGGATATCGCTAAAGCACACTGGGGCAGCCCGTCGAGAAAAAAATAATCGAAAAAAGCAAGAAATTGCAACGGCGAGAATTGAACCCTCGACCTCGCACAGCACCCAACCCCATTCCGCAATTCAAATCTCGAAGTTCAACCACTCCCAAATCCCCAACCGCACACCACCCCTCTCAACCTCTCAAACCCAACCTCCCCCCTAAACCGCTCATCTTTCATTCAATCCCGCATTGATTTTCTTGCATTTCGTCCAACTTTCGTCGAGCTCGAACTGTACAACCTTTTGTACTTTCTCGCCATGGCGACCTTTTTTACAATTCGAGGATGTAACCTGCCAGGGAAAGGTGTTTCCTGTCCGCTCCAACGAATTTTCGCATAATTCCAAATTGGAACAAGAGCGAAAAGCGTATATACGCCCCCGTATCATACACCAGCGTATTGAACAGGAAACACGTATTTGCAAACTAAGGCTGCAGCAAGGCTGCGTGCCAACGCAGCTAGAAGGCGGTGTGCCAGCGCAGTTGAAAGGCGGCTTGCCAACACTAGAGCATGACGGCCTGCCAATGTTGCAGCCGCAGATGATCATGCGCGCACATGTGTGCACCTACCAAAGTGGGTGCAGGTCTGCTCAACAGATTGTTGAGTGCACGTCGTGCACGCGATGCACATTGCGCAGCGCAGGTGCCACTATGCCAAGTTGTAGAGAACGTGATGCTTGTCCCGCAGGTCGAATTTCGCCAAAACCGCTTGGGCTGAAGTTCTCACACCCACGCAGAACTTCGCCGACCACTTACTTGGTCAGAAGAGGCCGCTCAGCCGGCACCGACACGTAGTTCGGCGTCCATAGGTCGACACCCGTAGGGCGTCACCCTGTCGACTATCACTTTCGTCGATCGCCGAGGTTCGACACCGTCGGCCCACTTCGTTTCGTCGGTCAGCGTCTCGTTAAATTTGTCGTGTTTACCTTCGCTCTGGTAGGCTTCGCTGTGGTCGGCTTCGCCAAAGTCAGATAACCAAACCAACCCACTTGCTCCTCAAAGTCGGCGTCGACTATAAAGCCTAGCCGACTGCACACCTTGCGTACTGGACTGCGAAGTCGGCTTCATCCAAGCGAACGGGGGATCTTTGGTCGTCAACAAGGCCTTTTTTGTTTTTGTTTTGTTCTGTTTTGTGTGCTTTTTTCTTTTACGTTTTTTTTTCCTCTCTTATTTTTCTTGCCTTCCCCCCCCCCATTTTTACCCATTTCTGGTGTGTGTGTGTGTGGGTGTGTGTGTGTGTGTGTGTGTGTGTGTGTGTGTGTGTGTGTGTGTGTGTGTGTGTTTGTGCATTTTTTTTTTCCCCCGGCAGCTCTTCTTCCTTTCTTTTCGTTGCAAACGAGAACGTGCTGGCAATGCTGCACCACCTCTATTGTGTGCCTGCTGCAACTGGTGTAAACGCTGAAACACAGTCCATGCGAGACAGATCTACACCACCCACCTTGTACTCGTCCACTCGGAAGTGTAGCCCTTGGTACAGCGCCTCCTCCTCCTCGTCCAATGGCTTCACATCGTCGTAAAACCCTGCCAGCATGATTAATTAGTTTCAAAAAAAGAAGGAAGAGATTGAATGCTTGAAAGTTTGGTTCTGCATGGATGGATGCAACACCGATGAAATCGCATTCACCGGATATCAAAAGACTTAATGGAATACTCCACCTGAACCCGAACTGTGTGTTACATTGAACTGGAACGAGGATCATGTTGTTGGATTTACTTGGGATTGCATTCACCTGGGATGAGGATCATATTGTTGCATTCACCTGGGATGAGGATCATATTGTTGCATTCACCTGGGATGAGGATCATATTGTTGCATTCACCTGGGATGAGGATCATATTGTTGCATTCACCTGGGATGAGGATCATATTGTTGCATTCACCTGGGATGAGGATCATATTGTTGCATTCACCTGGGATGAGGATCATGTTGTTGGAGTCGACGAGGTTGGAGAGCACAGTGACCAGGTCGTTGAGGGGCTCATTGAAGCTGCCCCCGTGTGTGCCCGAGTGCAAGTCCTTGAGCGGCCCCGTCACCGCCACCGTCAGGCAGATGAGCCCCCGCATGCCGTATATCAGACACGGGTGCTGGTCGCTGGGAGGAGGAAAGGAAGAAGGGTGGAAGAATGAGGGGGGGTGGGGGGTGAGAAATCAAGCAGGATGAGACCCCCCCCTTCCATAGATGAGGCACAGGTGTCGGTTATGAGGGGGAGCAAGGCAGGCAGAACGAGAAAGAGAGAAGCACACGAAGCAGCCGGTCCTCTGTTATCGTAGAGAAGGTATGGCTAGCTAATGGTCACGGGAAACTCAGCTGGTCCCTAGCTCTCTGCTGCAGCCCCACCTGAAACCTACTGCAGCTTAGCTGATCCATACCAGCACCTAGTCTCCATCTGATCCCCACCTCATCCCCACCTGATCCCCACCTGATCTCCACCTGATCTCCACCTGATCCCCACCTGATCCCCACCTGATCTCCACCTGATCCCCACCTGATCCCCACCTGATCCCCACCTGATCCCCACCTGATCCCCACCTGATCCCCACTGATCCCCAACAAATCCTCAACTAATCTCCAACTGACCCCCACTGATCCCCACCTGATTTTTACCTGACCCCCACCTGAACCCCACCTGATCCACGCGCCATCGCTGCTGAGAATGAGCCCCGTGCCCTCAAACCAGTCCAGGTTGGCGTACACCGCCTCCTTGAAGCCCTGAGAATGGGTGGGGAGGGGGGGAGGGGTAGGAGGGAAGCGATGACTGGGGTAGGTCGGCATAAGGGAGGTTCAACCAGTCCAGGTTGGGAAGCACTGCCTCCTTGAAACCCTGAGTGGGGAAAGCGGAAGAGAGTTAGACACACGGGAGAGGTGGAATTTCAAACCAGCCCAGATTGGCCCATTCATACGGGCGAGAGGGACCATACACCGCATTGCGTCGCGTCCCACGCCACACTCGCCTTGCACCCAATCTCCTGCATGCTACACTGCATTGCACCACTCTGTGGGATGCCCCATTCACCGTGCACCCATTCTCCTGCATGCCACACCGCATTGCACCGTTCTGCACCACACCCCACTCACCTTGCACCCGTTCTCCTGCATGCCGTCGATCACAAACACAATGTTGATTGCCAACTCGCCCCGACACACCAGATCCTGCCGACACGGGGCAAGGGGAGTTGGGAAAGGGGAGGAGGTAGCAAACAAATGAGGGCTCATTTTGCTGTCAGTGAGCGCGGCACACCAGATCCTGCCGGCATCGTGTGGCGACATGTTGATGGAAGAGAGAGGGAGGGCTCGAAGAGGAGGTGAGTATCAATTGATAATGAGACAACTCAAAACGAGGACAGTGACAGATTTAGTAAGTTAAAGAAAGAAATGCAAAGCAGTAATTTGATTTGCTTGAACTGATCATTCACGTCACGTTCATCTCCATTCCCACTCATTTTCCTGTGATTCCACAACAGCAGCACCAAAGCAGCAGCAGAAACAGCAACAGGGGCGGTGGGAGCGGCGGCGGCGGCGGCGGCGGCGGCAGCAGCAGCAGCAGCGGCAGCAGCGGCAGCACCTTGATGGCAAAGAGGGAGGCAATCAGGGGCCCCTTGCTGCTGGACACCCCTCGGCCAATGAGAAAGCCATCCTGAGCCGTCAGATCAAAGGGATCGCTCATCCAACCGTCCACGTCGCCTGCACCCGTGACATCGTAATGCCCGCATATGCACACAGTAAGACGGCTGGGGTCCTGCGGAACCAAAGGGGTTTTGTGGAAGAAGGACAAGCGGGAGTGCAAGAAACAGCCATTCAAAGACATCTTTATGCCAGCATGTGAATACGGTGAGATTGGCAGCATGACAGGACGAAAGTGGCATGCCTGGACATGCACAATGTAACACGCATGCATGATCTGGCAAACACACCTGCATGCATGATACAGCCAACAGCATGTGGCTCAATGTCACAGCACACCCACATCACACCTGCACGATGCGGCCGAACACCACAGGGCTGGTCCCATCCACGGCCACCACGAGCTTTGCCTCCGCCCCTATGTCCTCCAGCAACCCCATCACCACGTTGGCCGCCCGCCACATCTGCCATGAGCGAGGGGAGAGAAAGGTTAGGGCAGTGAGCACAGCACCGCAAGCAATGCACCAGCTCAGAGCCCGATCACCACGTTGGCCCCCTGGCACATCTGGGAAGAGGGGAGAGGTAAATGCAGGGTGGAGAATGAGGCAAGCGGGGAGCAGAGGAAGAGGATAGTGCAACAGTGTTTTGAGACGTCTCAAAACAGGCCCATCACCACGTTGGCCGCCCGCCACATATGCATGGTGAGTAGCAGGTGCAGGACGAACGGATGAGAGGAACGACGGAGCAAGATGCGGGGAAGGGGGAATGCGGCCACCTGTTAGGGTCCTGCCTGAACGTCCTAACCTCTTGGCAGACTGTAGGGCAGACTGGGCTCATCAGAACTACACAGCCGCCTCAACTCCTCTGCAGCGAGGCGGAGGCGCATGAACTAACGGTCCTCAAGTCATGACTGACCAGTTTTGGTGGCTTGCAGGGAAACCATGCACATCTGGGCTTGCGGGGCTTAGTTGGATTCGACGCTGGAGCAGGCCAGCGTCAAGCGTCAAAACGGAGTGATTTCACGCTTGACGTTGGACGGGCGTTTTGACGCTTGACACTCGCCCGAAAATTTTCCGGGCAGCCCAAAATCGTTTTTTTTTTTTTTTTTTTTAAGAAAATAAAGTTACAATTCAGGAGTTCGCGACCAGATCACGACTCCAAATGTCACTCGACAAAGCACAAAACAGGAAAAAAAATCTACTCTAAATCTACATTGTCCAACCAAAACAGCCACACTTCCCTCACTCCCCAACTTACGCGACACTCATTTAGGGTTTCAACAGCCACAATTCGACATTGCTAGCATAGCGCGCGACCCTTCCTTTAGCGTTTTTAGGGAATCATAGCTTACGCCATAGCGTGATTCTTTTGGCTGCCCGAAGGTTTTTTTTTGCCTGCCCGCCAGAGCGTCAAACACACCGTCAAACTCTTGGAGGGTTCCGTCCAGCGTAAAAAACGGACCGTCAAAACGGAACCCTAAAAAACGCTGGCTCCGTCAAATCCAACCAAGTTTCGGGGTTCAAATGGATGGATGCCTCTCACTCACCTCCTGTGCGGCGAGGCGCATGCACTGACGGTCCTCATGCGCACCAGCTGCATGTGGGTGGTATAACTGCGTCACGCGGATGCCTCTCACTCACCTCTTGAGCGGCGAGGCGCGAGGTGCATGTGCTGACGGTCCTCATGCGCACCAGCTGCCTCAGCGTGTCCTCCATCAGCCTCTGCTCCGCCGCCACCGACTCGTTCTGCCATGCACACATGCACACATGCACACACATACATACATCGTGCACAGAGACACACATAGACACATGAGAAGGGGCTTTTATAGGCAACCAGGCCCTATCAGCCGCTGATCAGACTGAATCAGGACGCGAGCGCGAATTAAAGATCTCAGAGTGGGGCCCAGCATGACAAGCAGGGATAGGCATGATTCATGCCTCATGAGCATGTGATGTGACCCAAATGGGTCGGGTTGCGAACCTGTGGTGGGATGTGGACTGAGGTCAAGTCAACTCCATGCAACCCATACTCGGTCTGGGTTAGCGTGGGTCAGCGTATGTTTTTTGAGAATTCTCATCCAACATACGCTGCAACAAATTTCCCTCCCACGGATGTTAGTGTGTTGGCGCCTTCCAAAGAGGATATGCATACTCGGTCTGGGTTAGCGTGGGTCAGCCTGGGTCAGCCTGCTTGGCCTGGGTCGGGACAGGCCCAATGCTCATGTCGAAGCAAGGAGGTGGCACCTTGAAACTGAATCTTGGCGTGGAGTGGGGAAGGTGGTACCTGAAGCTTTTGATTTACAGAAAGTGGGGGAGGTGCTACCTGGAGCTTGAAGCTTGGAGTGGAATGCGGGAGGTGGTGTGAATGGGAGGCGGTGGGGAGCCCTTTGCTGTCCTCCGTGGCGGACTGTGATTGGTCCACGCTGGCAGAGTCCACCTCCCAGTACCGCACCACACCGTCGCTGTGAGGATGGTGAAAGAGGGAGGTCAGTGAGGGGAAAGAATGGACATTTAATGTGAGGGAGAAAGGAAATTGAAGGGTAAAGAGGAGAAACACTGGAAATTGAAGGGTAAAGAGGAGAAACACTGGCACGGTCAGAGGAAAATAGAATTTAGGAGAAACTGGGGTTCATTTTGAAGCACATTTCTCTCGTGAGAACGGGAGAGGCCATGTGATGGCAAGCCCTCCGGCAGCTACTGTCGGCCTTACTTGAACCACACGCCACCTGCCGTGCCCGCCACACCTAAAGCCAATCACGACCCCAGCCCACTCTTGAAGAGGAGAAAGTTATTGCTCCTAAAGACGTTAGCTTTCTTCAAGGTGGAAACTCTATTTGGTTCACCTGGAGCCAGTGACGACCCCGGTGGGCGTGCATGCGATGGAGAGGAAGATGGAGCCCTCCTGGAGGAACACTCGCTCGCACTCGTATGTCACCATGCTCCACACCCTGGTGAGGGGAGGGGTCGGGGGAGACAGAGGGCCAGAACATGAGGGCGTGGTGCGCCGAGGAGGTGAGGAAGGAGGATAGAAGGCACATGCAGACAAAGGACAGAATCAGGACAGTCCAGGAGCAGAGGCGAGTACCTGATGGTGTGATCAACCGACGCACTGAAGAGACGGTTGTTAGGACCTGCAGCACCATGGCGGCGAGTGAAGGGAAATGGGATGGACAGAGCGATAGATGGGTGGGGATGGACATGAAGATTTTTCCAACATCACTAACAGTGCCAGAGATGTAGTAGATAATCAGGAAAGGAATTTTTGTGAGAAGCAAGAGTGTATGATCAAGAGGTACGTATTCACAGCATCAACCCCAGAACCATCCCCAATAGCAGCTGCACGAGCTAGTGTAGCAACAACCTGAGCCATTGCAGCAGCAGCCGCTGCTGTAGCAATAGAAAAACCAGCAAAGCTGTCAGGCATTCATATTGATGATTTTGGCAAGATATATGCACTTGTGAACTTGTCAAATCAGTTGATACTTGCGGGGGAGTTTCAGTTCAGCGCAGGTGGAGGGAAGTACTTGGTCCGGCATAACAAAGGTGCTCCACATGAACGAGCCGGCACCAACAAGAACCAAGACAAGTATGGTTTTAAAGGTGCGGCACGTTCTAAGTAACAGGAAAATAGAGTTAATATGGAGCAATAGCGAAGCGATGACGAGGTGATAGAATGAGACGAAGATGCAGATTTGCAGTCAAGGGGGTACTTGGATGCTAGCGGTAGATTCTTGCTGAGCGTATGGGCTCGTGTTCAAACTGCAAGGGCGATGGAGCTGGCGGGTCTTAACAATCTGGCGACTGCAAAGGCCGCAGCAAAAGCAGCAAAAGTAGAAGTTGCAGCTGTGGCGGCAGAAGAAACTGCAGCTGCACCAGAAGCAATGACAGTCGCAGCCGCAATTGACGGTTTAAGGCTGTTATTGCTTCTAGCTGCAGACTGCAGTTTCTTCTGCCACCACAGCTCCAGCTTCTGCTTTCGCTGCCTTTGGCTGCGGCCTTTGCAGTCGCAAGATCGTTCAGACCCGCCAGCTCCAGCGCCCTTGCAGTGTGAACATAAGTCTAAACGCCCGTCAAGAATATGCCACTAGCACCCAATTTCCCCCTTCACTGCAAATTTGCACCTTTCATCTCATTCCACCACCTCATCATCGCTTGTCTATTGCTTCGTATTAACCATACTCTTCCATTGCTTTGAAAGTGCCGCACCATCAAAACCATCCTCATTATGGTTCCAGAAGGTGTCGGCTCGCTCGTGTGGAGCACATGTGTAATGTCAGACCAAGTACTCCCCTCCACCTGCGTCTGAAACTCCCCCGCAGATATCCGTTGTTTGACAAGTTTACAAGCGTATAAATTTTGTCATAATCATCAGCATGAATGTCTGGCAGCTTGGCTCGTTTTGTTGTTGCTGCAGTTCTGGCTGCTGCTACACTAGCTCGAGCTGTTGCTGCACTAGCTCATGCAGCTGCTGTTGGGGTTAGTCCTAGGGTTGGTGCTGCTGCTGCTATTAATGCTGTGAATAGGATAAAAAAGGTGAGGGCAAAGTACTAGTGGCAAGCCCCACAACATAGTCAGTGAATGAAAACGAGATGGGGATTGATGATAATGGGCATGACAAGTGTATTGGTGGTGAGCCCCACAGCGTCATCGGTGAATGAGGGTGAGAAGGAGAGGGAGAACGACTATGAAGGGTAAGAGATAGAACGATATACCGGTAGCGAGGCCCACAACATCGTCGGTGTGGCCGGTGAGGGTGGTGATGCAGAGCAACGATGAGAGGTCCCACACCCTAATCGTGTTGTCCCTTGATCCTGGAGAGGGGGGAACAAGGTGTGAACATGTCCGTTTAGGCTATTGTCCTAACATGCGTGACACTCTGCATCGTGCAGAGTGTGCTGGAGGGTTGGAACTTTTCAGAGACAGAGTGGGGGAACGCGTTCCTAGTATGTGTTAGAGGCATCTTGCATGTGCTGGATTCTGGCGTCCTGGTGCACATGGCCGTGTGTTTCTTGGAGGGGAGGAGGGAAAATATGGTGTTGCATCAGTAGAGAAAAGAGAGGTCCCACACCCTCATCGTCTTGTCCCGTGGCCCTGAGGAGAGAGCGGACAGGGGCACGGGGGCAAGAGGAACAAGGCGAACAGAAAGTGATCCGCACCGGCCAGCAGAAGTTATCAGCATGTGTGAGTCAACAGGCATAAGTGGTAGGGAGGATAGGAGGAGTTTAGGAGGAGACAACAGGCATAAGTGATAGGAGGAGACTGCAAGTGCAGCCGCAACAGCTGAGTGCACGGGCTCTTCGCTTGATGGCCGACCGATCACAGGGCAGACCCGTGTGAGCGAGCAGAGGTGCAAGCAGACAGGTTGCTGACATGCGGGTAAGCTACAAGGTTGAATGAGCAGCACATATACTGAGCAGCAGCAAATAGGCTTTCACAATTCCTTAGGGGCACAAATATTGAAAGCATACGCACCGCTGAAGAGGCGCCACAGAGGCTTGGACGTGCGGTGCGGCGGCACATGGTGAGGCTTGGAGGGACCGAGAGGGTTGGCAGCAGAGGAGCGGTGGGAGGATTCGGCTGCAGCATCCGCTGTGGCGAGCGCCATGACTCCCCCCTTGTGGCCGTGCAGCGTTGCCACCCACTCGCCCGTCACCAGCGACCATACCTGGCAGTGTCAATGTGGTGGAAGGGGGATTGAAGTTGAAGAGTAGGGATAGACAGATGGTGTTGAGAAGAGGCTAGCTAGAAACGCGAATCGAAGGAAAGGTTTCCTGTGCAGCTCTACCATCCACTCGCCTATCAGTGACCATTACGAATGAGAGGGAACAGGATGGAACAGGTTGAAGATGAGGGGTAAAATGAAGGGACGGATTGAGTGGAGGTTTGGAGGGGTGGACCAGAGTGGGCCGGGTGAGTAGGTGGATAGGGTTGGGACAGAGTGCAGTGCCGCCTCCATGCTTTGGGGACAGGGTTGCCACGGCGCTTTTGAAATCACATTTGACAATCAGGCCCAGCACCCACCTTGACAAAGGTGTCCCCCGCGCCGCTACAGATGAGGGGGTGGGCTACAGCCAGAGCATAGACGCGGCTGCAGTGGCCATTCTTGTTCGAATCCGTCAGCACCAGCGCTGCCTCCGTGCTGTTGCACACTGTGCGGACCCCTCCTCCCCCTCCTCCCCCTCCTCCCCCTCCTCCCCCTCCTCCCTCCTCCCCCTCCTCCCCCTCCTGCCCCACACCCGGCTCCACTGCTTGCCCCTCCCACACCCCCTCCCCCTCCCCCTCCTGCTGCCCCTCCACAGCCACCACCACCACCACTACCCGCACTGCCTGCTTCACTGCAACCACTGCCCACCACTGTACTTCCCAGCCCTCTTCCTCCTTCACATGGTTTCGCCCCTTCCCCTAAATGCTGCTCCTGCTGCTCTGCTGCCTGTGCAGAGTCCTGCGGTGGCTGCTGGCCATTCACCTGACTGAACACCTGACCATTCATCTGACAGCTCACCTGACCGTTCATTAGTACATTCTGGTTATCTGGTAACCTGCCAATCACCTCCTCATGCCACCCTTCCACTCTCACCACTTCTCTCTCCCCACCACGGCACCCACCTGCCCCCACCCCACTCCCACCATTCCATTCCGTACCCCTCCTCCCCCCAACCTCCTCATCCTCCTCCTCCTCCCCCTCACCTACCACTGCCATATACGAACCTCCAGACCTCCCTGCCGAGCCACGGAACGAACCTGATGCCGACCCTCCGCCAGACCTCGCCCCTTCCAGGTAGCTGTACAGGTGAGCTTCGGGTGACAGTGATTGGGCGAGATCCCCGAACCCAACCCGAACCACATGCCCACCAGACCCCACTGCTGTAGAACCACCGTCTAGCCCTGAGCTTGGGCCTTTGGTTCGGGCTCGAGCCTGAGGTATGGCAACAGGAGCAGCAGCAGTGCCAGCACCACGAGGTTGGGTAGCAAGAGATGAAGCCTGGGGCCAAATGGTTTCTTCGGAAGAGAGTGATTCCCACATAGACCCGCCTGCTGCCCCTGCTGCTGCTCCTCTTCCTCCAACTGACGCTGTTTCAGTGCTGCCGTTTCCACTGGCTGATAGCTGAGGGTCTTTCACCTGTGACAAAGAGTGACCAGCGGAAGAAACTGCACCCTCCCCTCCTGCTGCCACTGCAGCTGCAGCAGCCGCCGCTGCTGCCATGGCGGCTGGCGACCTTTGATTGGCTGCAGCGGCCGACGGAGGGAAGGCACCAGCGGAAGTAGCAGCAGAAGCAGCAGCAGCTGGTTGTGACACAGAAGCTTCCAGCACGGTGGAGGCATCGGGAAAGGAGGAACCCGAGGGAATCACGAAATCCTTCAAGCTGTGGAGATGCTTCAACTGCTTCTGCCCATTCGCCTGCCCCTCTGCCGCATGCCCCTTAGCAGCAGCTGCAGCAGCAGCTGACGCCCTGGTGCAGCGAACAATGGAGGTGCCTGCAGGGCCAGCGACAGACCTTCCAAGTGCGAGGGCGAGTGCAAAGACGTCCCCATCGGAGTACCTGAGAGTGGAGAAGAGGCGGAACGTGTTGGTGTCCCAGATCTTGACGACGCGGGTGGAGGAGCTGTAGAGGCGGTCGTGGTGCACGGAGAGGGAGAAGATGGTCTGGCTGTGCCCCGCCAGCGTGCACACGCACCGGAAGTCCCGCAGCTCATACAGCGTGATCAGCCCGTCCTGCGACCCCGCAAACACGCGCTTACCGTCCACTGCCAGCGCCAGCACCGGCTGCCGGTGCTTCGCCATCGCGTGCCGCGGCCTGTCCGTTAGAGGAATGCCTTCTGGTGGGGGAACTGTGGTGGCCGCATGCCTCATGCTTCTGACACTGCTGCTGTTGTTTGTGCTGTTGCCACTGATGCCACCAGTCCACGACTGACTACTGGGATACCCATAAGTCTCTGTGTCCCCATCGATATCGTCTTCATCGTATTCCTCCTCGTCTCCCAAAATATCCCTGCCATTCTGATCTCTGACCAGGTCTCGCAGACCCTCCTTCCAGCTGCACGATCCCCCTGCTGCCCCCCCTGCTGGTAGCACCCCCGGTGATCCACTGCCAGCGGCAGCAGCAGCCGGAGAAGCAGCAGCAGGAAGAGGAGGAGGTGGAGTGGTTGCAGCAGAGAACGCTGTTTGAGATGAGGTGCTGGAAGCTGGAGACTGCCCCACCTGCTGCTGCCCTACCTGCCCCTGCTGCTGCTGCTGCGGCTGATTTTGCTGCTGCCATCTCGTCCCCTGCGCTCGCCTGGGGCGCCTGAGAGAGACCTTGAGGGAGGTGGGGGGGCAGCTGGCGAGGGCCTTGAAGGCGCGGGAGATGTCGCGAGCCACGGAGGGGGGCGGGTTGATGGGCACCAGAAGCACATCCACGAAGGAGCCCTTGAACCGTGTCATCACCACCGCCGTGTTGCGTGGGACCTGACACGTGGGCCGAAGGGGGGAGACAGGAGGTAAAGAGGAGCCCTTGAACCGCGTCATCACCACCATCGTGTTGTGCGGCACCTGATTGGGGGGTTGCGGGAGAGGGGCACTCAAGAGCAGACCTTGAACCGCGTCATCACCACCGCCGCGTTGCGCGGCACCGAATGGAAGGGGAGAGGGCACGATGGATGCGGAGGATTCATGAGCAGGTCATTTTTTTAGTCGCCTAAAAAAAACGCTAGAAAATATTATTTTGTTAGGCGCCTAGAAAAATACGCTCGAAAGTCAGGCAGTCAACGCCACCACCGTGTTTTGCCACGCCTGATTGGTGTGGGGGAGAAGCGGGGGGGGGGGGGATGAGGGATGATGGAGGGAAAGAGAGCGCTGGAAGCGCAATATGTTGACACATACACACTCCCCTTTGAACCGCGTCATCACCACCGCCGTGTGGTGCCGCACCTGAGGGGCAGGGGGGAGCAGAACGGAAAGGAGAGGAGCGGAGTGCGGCACTCTTGTCTGTAAGCAGCTCCCCTGGATCCAGTTGACGCTCTCCCCTCCCTCCCCCTGCGCATGATTACTCCTTCTCACCTAAATCCAGTCGGCAATCTCGTCCGTGAGTGGCTCACTTGAACCCCTCTGTATTACCCCCCACCTCCTGCCGGCTCACCTGGATCCAGTCAGCACTCTCGTTCATGAGAGGTTCACCTGAATCCCCCTCCGATACTCTCCCACCCCTTTCTCTCACCTGGATCCAGTCCACGCTCTCATCAGTGAGCGGCTCGCTGGAATTTCTTCCCCCTTCCCCCCCTCCCCCCCCCCCATCACTCCTCTCACCTGGATCCAGTCCGCACTCTCATCAGTGAGCGGCTCACCTCATTCCCCTCCAATATTCTCTCTTCTCTCTTCTCTCTCCCCTCACCTGGATCCAGTCCGCGCTCTCATCAGTGAGCGGCTCGCTGGCCACGATCCCCAGCAGCCCGCGGCGGTCGGCGTGGCGCACCAAGTAGTCATTGCTGCTGCCGTCCAGCGCCTCAAACCGGCTCCCACTCGCATAGTACAGCGTTGCACACTCCTCGTGGGGCAGATTGCAGTATCTGCCAGGTGGGAGGGCGGAAGGAGGAGGAGGGGGGAATATGGCATGAAAAGCAGAGGTATGTACGCCACCTTCTCCATGTGAGAAAGAAAGATATTACAACACTCCAAACACTCTGTGCGGCGTTACGCACTCCTTGTTCGGTGTCTGCCGCAAGGGAGGGCGAGAGGAGAAGGAAGGACTGACCTCACTCGGTGCAGTGGCAATCAACAAACTAATTAATGAACATAATGAACTCACCAGCACTGAATTAAACTCACTGGGTGACCAGCACCAAAGTGAACTGACTTGGTGGCAACGACGGTGCGGCCATCGGAAACAACGAAGTTGAGGAGAGAGAGCTCGTCTGCCACCCCCGCCTCGCCACATAGCCGGTTTACCTCGTTGATCGTCGCCTCCATCTTTGCCACTAGCTCCTCTGCATGCATTGCAGGCACGATGGGAGGCCAAGACACAATGCACACACACGTATGTTTGGAGCTGCGCTTGGTGGGTTCACCTTGTTGATCGCTGCCTCCATCCGGGACACTAGCTCTTATGAGCTCATAGCAGGCACGGTGGGAGGGGGGTCAAGGATATACCTTGCATGCATGCAATATTCACAAGTCCTCAGAACACTGTGGCGCGAGCTGCAGGACAAAACAAAGAAAATGATTAAAAAACAATAACGAGTGTAATAATAATCACATAGTAATAATAATGATGACGATAAGAATATTTATACCAAAACTATAGCACGTACCTGGTGCGAGCTGCTGCATGGGGTCTTGGATCTGGTTGAGGAAGAGAGCAAAGCAGATGGCAGAGTCGGACTCGAAGGAGGGGCACTGCTGGTACACATCATCCCGCAGCGACTCCAGCAGCTTTCTCCGTACCTTGTGAAATCCCCCCACCCCACCGTTGTGCATCCACATGTACCGCCCGCACACGAAAGGCTGGAGGACGTGGGAGGAACAGGAAGTACTATGTGTGAGCAGAAAAGGGTACTTCCTCAGAAAAGGGAACTTTCGCAGGAACGTTGGACAATTCTCCCGACCCCACCGTTGTGCCTCCAGAGGAGCCACAGGATGGACACGCAGGCTGGGAGACGGAAGGAGGAGAGTGGGAGACGTGGGTAAATTACAGTTCAACACACAAAAAGGAACGTTGTGACGCGCTCTTACCCCCGCCATTGAGCCTGTTGACGTACCGCAGGGTGAACACGACGGGTGGGAGGGGAGACGGACGGAGGAAAGCGGAGGTAATCGTCTAAATGAAACCCTTTTCACAATCTTTCGCTAAACGCCTTAAACATTGTGGAAGACGGGTGACGTGCCCTGCCGGCATGGCACAGGAGATACAGCAACGACTGCAATTTTTGAGGAACATGAGAACAGGAGACGCATCAACGACTGCGCAGAGCAAGGCAGTGGAAAGGCGTGAGGAGGTAGAAGCAGCTTCGGTTGCTTCCAACCAACCACGCCTTCATACCCAGACAGCTAAGAACGTTCCCTATCACCTAACGCTCGAACGTGTATGGCGACGGTTCCTTGCAAGCAGTGAGGCAGAGAAAGGATCGGATAACCGATGGACGTAACACGACATCATCGGACCTGACAGTTGGAGTCATTGACGGGGATTCCTGGATACGCCGCGCGAACATGAGCGAAGATGAGAGGCGAAATGATCTTATTCGCCAACCGCTTGAGGTTACCATTGTTCCAGGCTGGCTGAATGGAGGAGAAAACGCAAGGAGTCGGATCCTCGATCGCTAGAGGACCATGGCCTTCGGGTGAGTACCACCCGATCCCAAATCCGTCCCCGTTAAGGTATCCATGACCCGTTAAACGTTCCTTAGCGTCGTAAGACTGACGTGTTAGCGATCTAGACGGTTTGGTAACCAAGTCGGCTAGTAGGCATGGCGTGCCTAAATACACCATCAGCCGACACATGGCGCTAGCTGGAAGGGGCGAGACGCCCCAATACAGCACGTAGCAGCTTAGAACTCCAATACATACAACTCTATGTCGTAATTTCAGGTAAAACTGCTAATCATTCTAAGTCTGACGGATATAAACTCGAAGGCTCACGGACCATGACTTGGAAAGCAACGAAAGCAATCCCAAGGAGGCTTAGAAGAAATGGCATTATGACGCAGTACAGTATTCTAAAGAACCTTTTGTTCGGAAGTGGAAACTGAGCGAACCGAGTCCTTGGGCTATACGAGAAGACCCCGTTCCTGCCCTCACGAACAGAGCCTGGAAGATGAATTCTGTCTGTTACACCACAGATCGTGAGGGGTAACCGGGCTCACCTGACTTTTCAGGTGGTTGATAATTCACTTGTGCATTGGCGACACCAATAGAATTCGCAAATTTCGTGTTTGGAGATTTTGTTGTGACGAGGAGTTGAGTTCGAAGTCGGAAAACTGCGTGTGTAAGTAGGCGTTGACTACACAGCACCAAACCGAAGGCTGTCAGACCAATGTCGGCGGCGAACGAATTTCGCCACATCTTTCCTTGTTGGCAAGGTTCGTTGAACAACCAGTTCCGGGTATAGGGAGACTCGCGCTTCGATTATGTACACCGGCTACACTTCGCAGGCTCAATATCCATCATATATGCATTAAGATCTGACTGGTATTCGACCGGATACCTTACCTTGCTCCCCCAGATAGTCGTGCCCTTACAGGATAAACCTGAGAATAATCACCGGTGACGGGTGATAAAGCCTTTTCTGATTATTATTCCCACCCTTTTTCAAAAGAGTGAAGACCTTGATTGTAACACAACACACTACACCGCCTCTTTGATGCCTAACACCTTGCCGAGCGCCTTAGCCTTGTCCCATTCCTCCATCGGTACCAGCATAAGTTTCAGCCTCCTTGCCAGCCCCACATACTCCTCCCTCTGCCCCTCCACAAAAGTCGAAGCTACAGTGCCTCTTTGATGCCAAACACCGTGCCGAGCGCCCTGGCCTTATCCATTTCCTCCATCTGCACTAGCATGCGCTTCAGCCTTCTCGCCAGCTCCACGTCACGTACTCCTCTCCCTGCCCATCCACTGCACTTTCGAGGCACCTCAAATATCGAAGCTACAGCGCCTCTTTAATGCCAAACACTTTGCCGAGCGCCCTGGCCTTATCCATTTCTTCCATCTGCACCAGCATGCGTTTCAGCCTCCTCGCCAGCCCCACACACTCCTCCCTCTGCCCCTCCACTGCACTCCGACTCTCTACAGAGCGCCCCAGCGTTTCGATAAAAGGCACCAGTTGCGACAGAGGAGACCTGGGACTGTAAGGTATTTTGGGTTCAATGTTTTGGGTTGAAAGAGAGGAAGGAAGGAGCAACCATGACGGATGGATGAGAAATAAGACCACATGTACCTAGTGGGAGGAATAATGCATCAGCATCATTCACATGCAAATTGAGACAACAATGCAGAGAAAGATTCTAGAAAACAACAGGAACCAGCTTGACATACTGTACGTATGTGCTTCCACCTGTTCTTGGAACTGGTCTAGGGAGGCAAGACGCTGCTGTTGCCAGTGCCCGCCTATTTGCCATTACACAGCACACAAACGAGTGCTGTGCAGTGCAGTAACCTTACCAAATAACTCTAAATGGGGTACAGCTTGAGCAGCCAGCTCACCTGTTCCTGGGTTCGGCCGAAGGAGGCAAGGCGCTCCCGCTGCCAGTGCCGGCCCACTTGCCATCACACAGCACACAAACGAGCCGCTCTGTACGGGGTACGGCGTCGTGCAGCACAGGGGCGAGGGCGCGCAGATGTGGCAGCAGCTGATTGGCCAGGAGAGACTGCAGCACGAGTCGATCTAGGAGTTGCTGAGACACCACGTCTCGCATCCTGGTGGCGGGAATGGGAGCGGTGAGGGATGGTGGCATGGTGTCAGATACGTCAACAGTGTAAGGGTGTGGCAGCAGTTGATTGGCCAGGAGGGACGAAGCACAAGGCGGTCTAGGAGCTGCTGAGACACGACGTCTCGCATCCTGGTGGCGGGAATGGGAGAGTTGGGGTGGAGGTGGAGGGGAGAAGGAGAGGGTTGGAGGGGGAGGTGGGGATGGAAGTGACGAGGGGAGATGGGATTGGGGTGCTGTATTCCTTGGAGATTTGAGGCGCCTCAAATTTCAGGACTGAACACACACAGTCAGTCACATCCCCATCTCCCTTATGTTAGAGAAGATCGAGCGCAGCACGAGTCGGTCCAGCCGGTGTAGCCACAAGCATCTGAGAGACACGTGCTGAAAGGGAGTTTTTGAGACGTCTCGTCCCTGGAGCATGTCTCAAAAACCCCACAAGCATCTGAGACACACCATGTCTCACTGCCTGAAAATCCACCCATGGAAAAACACCAGATCCAGTAAGTTACATTTGGCATTCTGTAAGTTACAGATCCGGTGCAGAGAGGCTGCAGATGAGCGATAGGAAAAACACCTGTAACATGCCTCCAAGAAAGGGGTTTTGAAAAGAACCTGGAAAAATATGGTGATTGTGGGGAAAGGGGGAGGGGCGAAAAGTAGGGCATGGTGCCGGCCGCGTGCAATGATGGAGGAGCTGTCCGGCCTCTCGTGGTTGGCTCAAGTGATGATTCTGAGGAACATTCCGACCATGGGAGGCCGGACCATGTTCCTCAGAACAGCTCCTCAGAATCATCACTTGAGCCAACCACAGGAGGCCGGACAACTCCTCCATCACTGCACCTACGGCCGGCACCATGCCCTCCCTCTCGCCCCTCGCCCTTTCCCCACACTCACTATGTTCTTCCTGTTATTCTCATCTGCCGCTTCCTCCTGCAGCACCAGCATCAACTCCACCTGAATCGCTTTGTTCCTCCACCTGCCCATGTTGCCCATGAGCCACACGCATGTCCGCATTTCTGAAAGTGTCTCTCAAGCATCTCCTGATACCTGCCTGCTTTGATTCGAACGCTCTTGAATGCACCTGCCCAGGTTGTGAATGAGGCGCAGCGCCTGTCCAAACCTCTGGAGATGCTTCAGACGCTCTTACCCTCCACAGCCATTTCCTGGTACCTGCCAGTATTGCACGCTCTTAGGTAGTGAACGCACCTGCCCAGGTTGTGAATGAGGCGTAGTGCCTGCCCGAACCTCTGAGCCGCGAATCGAGCAGCGGAGGGGCAGGCTGCAAGTATGGGGGGCGGCCACGCTGGTAGCTGCGAGCAACAGCAAGGGAGGCCAGGGGGACGAGACAAAGGTCAAGACATGTGTCTTTCGCATAAGGCAGACCTCCACCCCTCCCAGTCAATGCCCCACTTCGATCCTTGAAGCCTGTCCATCCAAACCCCATTGCACAAGAAACCACCACCAGAGCCTCCCACCTCCTCAGCCGGCATACATAATCTCCCCAACACCACTCACCCCTGCTCCATAGCTGTCATACACCCCTCCCTCCTCTCACCTGCATGTCTGCAACAACCCCCTCCATGCACCCCTCCATGGCCTTCACCCCTCCATGTCTTCACCTGCCGGCGCGGTGCGTGCAACTCCACATACACCAACACCTCCTTCCCAGTGTTTGTCCCCATCCCCATCCCGCTCCCCCGCTCACCTGCATCTCCCCAACAGCACTTTCAATCCGCCCCTCCACGGCCTTCACCATCTCCATCACCGCGGGTGCCCCCACTTCCACAGCCGCCATACAGCGTATGTTTTTTGTGAATTCTCAAAAAACATGTCCTTTCCCAGTGTTAGCCCCACCCATCCCCTACCTTACCTGCATCTCTGCGACAGCACTTTCCATACGCCCCTCCACGGCCTTCACCATCTCCACCACTGCCGGCGCCCCCGCCTCCACATACACCAGCACCTCCTCGACAGCTGTCGCCGCGCGATTGGTTGCAGCGCGGTCCAGCGGGTCCCAGCAGTGCTGCAGCGCGTGGTGCAGGATCGGCAGCCCCACCTTCTCCACGAGCCTCGGCACCAGGTTCGTGTCCGGGTCGTCCGGCGCAGGCTCGGAGCCGTCGGTTGGGAGGCCATAGTCAAAGAGGACTGAGTACCTGGTGGGGTTGGTTGGATTTGGATGGATTGTTTGAGAATTCTCAAACAATCCCTGCAACATCAAGGATTTGGATGGGGAGGAGCGCAGGAGTGGAGAAGGAATTTGGGAACTTTGAGACGCCTCAGAACTTGGTTCCATTGGTTAAGAGGCTGTAATCAAAGAGGACTACATACCTGGTGAGTGGGGGGGGAGGAGACGATGAAGGAGGGGAGGAGCAGAGAAGAGATGGAGAGGCCATTTTTTGTCATGCCTAAATAACCAATCTATTATTCGTGAGCCCATAGTGATAATAATGAGGGATCACCGTTTGCAGTCGGACTGACTGAACAACTGACCGACCGACCGACTGACTGACTTCCTGACTGACTGACTGACTTCCGGACTGACTGACTTCCGGACTGACTGACTTCCGGACTGACTGACTTCTTGACTGACTGACTTCCGGACTGACTGACTTCCTGACTGACTGACTTGCGGACTGACTGACTTCCTGACTGACTGACTTCCTGACTGACCGACTTCCAGACTGACTGACTTCCTGACTGACTGACTGACTGACTGACTGACTGACTGACTGACTGACTGACTGACTGACTGACTGACTGACTGACTGACTGACTGACTGACTGACTGACTGACTGACTGACTGACTGACTGACTGACTGACTGACTGACTGACTGACTGACTGACTGACTGACTGACTGACTGACTGACTGACTGACTGACTGACTGACTGACTGACTGACTGACTGACTGACTGACTGACTGACTGACTGACTGACTGACTGACTGACCGACATGACTGACTGACTGAGTGACTGACTGACTGACTGACTGACTGACTGACCGACATGACTGACTGACTGACTGACTGACTGACTGACTGACTGACTGACTGACTGACTGACTGACTGACTGACTGACTGACTGACTGACTGACTGACTGACTGACTGACTGACCGACATGACTGACTGACTGACTGACTGACTGACTGACTGACTGACTGACCGACATGACTGACTGACTGACTGACTGACTGACTGACTGACTGACTGACTGACTGACTGACTGACTGACTGACTGACTGACTGACTGACTGACTGACTGACTGACTGACTGACTGACTGACTGACTGACTGACTGACTGACTGACTGACTGACTGACTGACTGACTGACTGACTGACTGACTGACTGACTGACTGACTGACTGACTGACTGACTGACTGACTGACTGACTGACTGACTGACCGACATGACTGACTGACTGACTGACTGACTGACTGACTGACTGACTGACTGACCGACATGACTGACTGACTGACTGACTGACTGACTGACTGACTGACTGACTGACTGACTGACTGACTGACTGACTGACTGACTGACTGACTGACTGACTGACTGACTGACTGACTGACTGACTGACCGACATGACTGACTGACTGACTGACTGACTGACTGACTGACTGACTGACTGACTGACCGACATGACTGACTGACTGACTGACTGACTGACTGACTGACTGACTGACTGACTGACTGACTGACTGACTGACTGACTGACTGACTGACTGACTGACTGACTGACTGACTGACTGACTGACTGACTGACTGACTGACTGACTGACTGACTGACTGACTGACTGACTGACTGACTGACTGACTGACTGACTGACTGACTGACTGACTGACTGACTGACTGACTGACTGACTGACTGACTGACTGACTGACTGACTGACTGACTGACTGACTGACCGTCTCACCAGTGCATGGAGTCAAAGGCGCCTCCCCCAAACAGCGGGTCCCATCGCAGCAGCTCCAGGCGCACCAAGGGAGCAAAGAGCGCCGGTGCTGACATGCTGGCGTAGGCGTCCCGGTAGGCTGCGGGGTGCTGCTGCTTCCACCTCTCCATTCGCTCCTTCACTCGCTCAATCCTGCTGTACTCCTCGGCTGCATCCGCAAACACCGCATCTGCAGGCGGACAGAGGGGTTTGAGGATGGGTGAAGAGGGTGAAATAGGCTTGCTGATAGGCCAGGGGGGTTAGGGTGGTGGTGGTGCTTCCTGCGCTCCTTCACTCGCTCAATCCTGCTGTACTCCTCCGCTGCATCTGCAAACACTGCGTCTGCAGGAACCAAAGGAAGGGAGAGGCGGGTAAGCAGGGGGTGCGAGGTAGAGGGGAATCAGCAGGGGGAAAGGAGCGGTATGCATTGGGGTCGTGGTTGCTGCCATCTCTCCCTGCCGGCGCTGACATGCTGGCGTAGGCGTCCCGGTAGGGTAGGCCGAGGGATGCTGCTGCTTCCACCGCTCCATGCGCTCCCTCACTCGCTCTACCCTGCTGTACTCCTCCGCTGAGAGATGGATGGGTGGGATGGGCGGAAGCAGGGAAAGAGGGGGAGGAAAACGAATCCAGAGCAGGGAAAACGAGGGGGAAGGCAGATCAAATGCAGGGAAACGAGGGGGAGGAAAAAAAAAAGCGAGAAAGGAGGGAGAAGAGAGAGGGAGGGGACCAGGATGCAGAGCCTGCCAGTCAGAAGAAGAAAATCAGGGAGGAGGAAGCTTGAGGAGGGAGGGTGGGTCATCGAGCATCAGCAAGAGGCTGATGCTGTTCGATAACCATGACATTGATTTGATGGCGCACAAAACAGGCTTGCAGCGTCATCTCGGAGTAGCTGTTACGAATGACCAGGGGCAATTCAGCAACAGCATCCGAACGAGTGTGTAGGATGCTCACTCTGAGATGTCGCAGCATCCGAACGAGTGTGAAAAAGGAGGGAGGTTGCTCACCAGCAGCAGTGAGTATTTCTTGCCTGCCAGAGCTGTACGCACTCCGCTCATCATCACTCTCATCGCTGCTCCACTCCCCCTCCACCCTCCCCACACCACCTCCTCCCCCTTCTGCTTCGCCCCGCCCAGCCCTCCTGGCTTCAGCCTTGGCGTGCCGTCTCTCCCTCGCTGCCACGCGCCTCTGGAACTCCAGCCTGCACATGCAGTGGAGTCAGAGGTTCAGGGTTCAGGGTTTCCTGGTTAAGGGGGTTCAGGCCGCTGCTCCCCTGGCCTCTGTCTTGGCGCGCCGTCTCTCCCTCGCTGCCACGCGCCTCTGGAACTCCAGCCTGCACATGCAGTGGAGTCAGAGGTTCAGGGTTCAGGGTTTCCTGGTTAAGGGGGTTCAGGCCGCTGCTCCCCTGGCCTCTGCCTTGGCGTGCCGTCTCTCCCTCGCTGCCACGCGCCTCTGGAACTCCAGCCTGCACATACAGTGGAGTCAGAGGTTCAGGGTTCAGGGTTTCCTGGTTAAGGGGGTTCAGGCCGCTGCTCCCCTGGCCTCTGCCTTGGCGCGCCGTCTCTCCCTCGCTGCCACGCGCCTCTGGAACTCCAGCCTGCACATGCAGTGGAGTCAGAGGTTCAGGGTTCAGGGTTTCCTGGTTAAGGGGGTTCAGGCCGCTGCTCCCCTGGCCTCTGCCTTGGCGCGCCGTCTCTCCCTCGCTGCCACGCGCCTCTGGAACTCCAGCCTGCACATGCAGTGGAGGCAGAGGTTCAGGGTTCAGGGTTTCCTGGTTAAGGGGGTTCAGGCCGCTGCTCCCCTGGCCTCTGCCTTGGCGCGCCGTCTCTTCCTCGCTGCCACGCGCCTCTGGAACTCCAGCCTGCACATGCAGTGGAGTCAGAGGTTCAGGGTTCAGGGTTTCCTGGTTAAGGGGGTTCAGGCCGCTGCTCCCCTGGCCTCTGCCTTGGCGCGCCGTCTCTCCCTCGCTGCCACGCGCCTCTGGAACTCCAGCCTGCACATGCAGTGGAGTCAGAGGTTCAGGGTTCAGGGTTTCCTGGTTAAGGGGGTTCAGGCCGCTGCTCCCCTGGCCTCTGCCTTGGCGCGCCGTCTCTCCCTCGCTGCCACGCGCCTCTGGAACTCCAGCCTGCACATGCAGTGGAGTCAGAGGTTCAGGGTTCAGGGTTTCCTGGTTAAGGGGGTTCAGGCCGCTGCTCCCCTGGCCTCTGCCTTGGCGCGCCGTCTCTCCCTCGCTGCCACGCGCCTCTGGAACTCCAGCCTGCACATGCAGTGGAGTCAGAGGTTCAGGGTTCAGGGTTTCCTGGTTAAGGGGGTTCAGGCCGCTGCTCCCCTGGCCTCTGCCTTGGCGTGCCGTCTCTCCCTCGCTGCCACGCGCCTCTGGAACTCCAGCCTGCACATGCAGTGGAGTCAGAGGTTCAGGGTTCAGGGTTTCCTGGTTAAGGGGGTTCAGGCCGCTGCTCCCCTGGCCTCTGCCTTGGCGCGCCGTCTCTCCCTCGCTGCCACGCGCCTCTGGAACTCCAGCCTGCACATGCAGTGGAGTCAGAGGTTCAGGGTTCAGGGTTTCCTGGTTAAGGGGGTTCAGGCCGCTGCTCCCCTGGCCTCTGTCTTGGCGCGCCGTCTCTCCCTCGCTGCCACGCGCCTCTGGAACTCCAGCCTGCACATGCAGTGGAGTCAGAGGTTCAGGGTTCAGGGTTTCCTGGTTAAGGGGGTTCAGGCCGCTGCTCCCCTGGCCTCTGCCTTGGCGTGCCGTCTCTCCCTCGCTGCCACGCGCCTCTGGAACTCCAGCCTGCACATACAGTGGAGTCAGAGGTTCAGGGTTCAGGGTTTCCTGGTTAAGGGGGTTCAGGCCGCTGCTCCCCTGGCCTCTGCCTTGGCGCGCCGTCTCTCCCTCGCTGCCACGCGCCTCTGGAACTCCAGCCTGCACATGCAGTGGAGTCAGAGGTTCAGGGTTCAGGGTTTCCTGGTTAAGGGGGTTCAGGCCGCTGCTCCCCTGGCCTCTGCCTTGGCGTGCCGTCTCTCCCTCGCTGCCACGCGCCTCTGGAACTCCAGCCTGCACATGCAGTGGAGGCAGAGGTTCAGGGTTCAGGGTTTCCTGGTTAAGGGGGTTCAGGCCGCTGCTCCCCTGGCCTCTGCCTTGGCGCGCCGTCTCTCCCTCGCTGCCACGCGCCTCTGGAACTCCAGCCTGCACATGCAGTGGAGTCAGAGGTTCAGGGTTCAGGGTTTCCTGGTTAAGGGGGTTCAGGCCGCTGCTCCCCTGGCCTCTGCCTTGGCGCGCCGTCTCTCCCTCGCTGCCACGCGCCTCTGGAACTCCAGCCTGCACATGCAGTGGAGTCAGAGGTTCAGGGTTCAGGGTTTCCTGGTTAAGGGGGTTCAGGCCGCTGCTCCCCTGGCCTCTGCCTTGGCGCGCCGTCTCTCCCTCGCTGCCACGCGCCTCTGGAACTCCAGCCTGCACATGCAGTGGAGGCAGAGGTTCAGGGTTCAGGGTTTCCTGGTTAAGGGGGTTCAGGCCGCTGCTCCCCTGGCCTCTGCCTTGGCGCGCCGTCTCTTCCTCGCTGCCACGCGCCTCTGGAACTCCAGCCTGCACATGCAGTGGAGTCAGAGGTTCAGGGTTCAGGGTTTCCTGGTTAAGGGGGTTCAGGCCGCTGCTCCCCTGGCCTCTGCCTTGGCGCGCCGTCTCTCCCTCGCTGCCACGCGCCTCTGGAACTCCAGCCTGCACATGCAGTGGAGTCAGAGGTTCAGGGTTCAGGGTTTCCTGGTTAAGGGGGTTCAGGCCGCTGCTCCCCTGGCCTCTGCCTTGGCGCGCCGTCTCTCCCTCGCTGCCACGCGCCTCTGGAACTCCAGCCTGCACATGCAGTGGAGTCAGAGGTTCAGGGTTCAGGGTTTCCTGGTTAAGGGGGTTCAGGCCGCTGCTCCCCTGGCCTCTGCCTTGGCGCGCCGTCTCTCCCTCGCTGCCACGCGCCTCTGGAACTCCAGCCTGCACATGCAGTGGAGTCAGAGGTTCAGGGTTCAGGGTTTCCTGGTTAAGGGGGTTCAGGCCGCTGCTCCCCTGGCCTCTGCCTTGGCGTGCCGTCTCTCCCTCGCTGCCACGCGCCTCTGGAACTCCAGCCTGCACATGCAGTGGAGTCAGAGGTTCAGGGTTCAGGGTTTCCTGGTTAAGGGGGTTCAGGCCGCTGCTCCCCTGGCCTCTGCCTTGGCGCGCCGTCTCTCCCTCGCTGCCACGCGCCTCTGGAACTCCAGCCTGCACATGCAGTGGAGTCAGAGGTTCAGGGTTCAGGGTTTCCTGGTTAAGGGGGTTCAGGCCGCTGCTCCCCTGGCCTCTGCCTTGGCGCGCCGTCTCTTCCAAATTCATCCCCCTCCACCCGCCCTCCCGCTGCCCCTCCCCCTTCCACCACCACCTCTGCCGCTGCTGCCGCCGCCGCCACCGCCGTCACCAACACTCTCACCACATTCACACACTTCGTCACATCTACTCACACCTACTCGTACCTACTCGCATCTAACCATAACTGCCCACAGAGTTCTGACCGCTTCTGCAGGCTTGCAACTCGCCCAAACTCATCCAGCTCTGCCCGCGCTCCCACACCTGCCCATACCTGCCCACACCAATCCACACCTACACATTTCCACCTCCCACCGCAACCCACCCAGCCTCACCGTTTCTGCAGGTTCACGTCTCTTCCAAACTCATCCAACTCCACCCGGCCTCCCCCCGCACCTCCCCCTTCCACCACCGCCTCCACCGCTGCTGCTGCCACTCCTACTGCTGTCGCCATCATCCTCACCACACACAACCACACCTACTCACACCTCCTCTCAGAAAATCTTAGACTTACTCACACTTACTCCTCACACCAACCCATAACTACCCACCCAGCCTCACCGTTTCTGCAGGTTCACGTCTCTTCCAAACTCATCTAACTCCACCCGGCCTCCCCCCGCCCCTCCCCCTTCCACCACCGCCTCCGCCGCTGCTGCCGCCGCTGCCGCTGCCGTCACCGTCCCCGCCCCCTGCGCCATTGCTGCTGCCGCCGCTGACGTGGCAGCCTCTGCTTGCGCCAGCTCATCTGCTAGGTCAGCGCGGCGGCGCTCGAACGCTGCGTTGGCACGCTCCTCCTGCAGCTGCTGCAGCGACTCCTCCAGCTCCTCTATCAGAGCTGCTTTGTCCTGATGAAAGAGAGCAAGGGGAGGAGAGGAGGGATTCGGAGGGCCATGTATGTAAGAGGCGACAAGCCGCTCCTCCTGCAGCTGCTGCAGCGACTCCTCCAGCTCCTCTATCAGAGCTGCTTTGTCCTGATGAAAGAGAGCAAGGGGAGGAGAGGAGGGATTCGGAGGGCCATGTATGTAAGAGGCGACAAGCCGCTCCTCCTGCAGCTGCTGCAGCGACTCCTCCAGCTCCTCTATCAGAGCTGCTTTGTCCTGATGAAAGAGAGCAAGGGGAGGAGAGGAGGGATTCGGAGGGCCATGTATGTAAGAGGCGACAAGCCGCTCCTCCTGCAGCTGCTGCAGCGGCTCCTCCAGCTCCTCTATCAGAGCTGCTTTGTCCTGATGTGAGGATGGGGGCGGAGAAGAGAAAGAGGGGGTGTGTAGTGTCTGACATGAGAAGGTGGTGTTATCAAGCAGAACAGCTGCTCAAGGGACTCCTCCAGCTCCTCTATCAGAGCCGTCTAGTACTGATGTGGGAGGAGGGAAAAGAGGAAGGGTGTATCTGAGGAAGAGTCTTCTGAATTCTGCAGCTGCTGCTCAGCTTGAGGAAGTCACACGTCACACAGCACGAAAATGTGCGGCTGCAGGTCCTGTTGTTGAGGCGCCTAAAACATAGCATAGTGCCCTGCCCTCACCGCTCCCATGATTCACCTTGAGGAAGTCACACAGCACAGCCACGTATTGCCGGAGGTCCTGCACAGCCCCCTGTTGCCTTGAACACTTCCTCCCAGCCCAGGACCCACCAGGAGCCAGCCTTCTCACCTTGAGGAAGTCACACAGCACAGCCACGTATTGCCGGAGATCCTCAACTCAACTCACCTTGAGGAAATCGCACAACACGGCGATGTACTGTCTGAGGTCCTGCACAAAGCGGTATTTGCTCTCAGCGCCCTTCATCGCCCTCTCTAGCTCCAACACCTCCTCTGCCGCCGCCACCAGCCGATCCTCCGCTTCCCGAGCCTCCCGCTCAGCCTTGGATTGCGAGGCCTGGGGAGAGAGGGAAGGGGTGGGGTGGAGTAATGTGGGGTGATGGACAGTGATGAATGGTGAAGGATGGTGAGGAGCGGTGCAAAGGGTGGAGCTGAAAGGCGTGGTGCTGTGGAGAGTGTGGTGGAACGTGGTGGGGAGGGTTGCAGAGTGTGGTGCTAAATGGTGTGGAGGAATAGACAGAAGGTTATAAACAAGTTGGTTAAATCACATTCGCTAAAAGTCACTCCCTTAAGAGCACGTACCTGCAGTCTCGCAAGCCCTCTCTCAGGAACTTCATCACCTCATCCCCTTCCGCCACTATCGACCCCACCCCACCACCCATCCCCCCTGCAACTTTCCCTCCACCCCCATACCCCCCCACGTACCTGCAGTCTCGCAAGGCCCTCCCTCAGGAACTTCATCACCTCATCCCCCTCCGCCACTATCGACCCCGCCCCTCCCATTCCTCCTGTGCCCCCCACTGCCCCTCCATACCCCCACGCGCCTGCCCTCACCCCCCCTGAAAACACCTCCATTGCACTCCGCCCTCCCTCCTCTCCCCTTCCGCCCATCCCCCCCACACTCCCCCCTTTCTCCCCCACAGCTTTTCCCCCCATTCCCCCGTCCTTCCCCCCTGTGGCTCCTGGCACAGACACCATCCTACCGACTCCCTTGCGCAACTGCTCCTCCTCCCACCTCCTCTCCTCCTCATCCTCCTCTGCCTCTTTCTCCTTCTCCTCCTCCTCCCCTTCATCCTCCTCCTCCATCCCCCGCCCTCTCCTCTCCCCGTTCACCTCTCTACTCCCTCCCCTCCCCTTCCCTCCCCTCCCCCGCCCACTCCCCCTATCCCCCCCCAACACCCCCCCGAGCGCCACTCTTCCCCCCAACGCCTCCTCTTCATCCTCGCTAGACTGCTCCCCCTTCCCCTTCTCCCCCTCCTCTTCCCCCATCTCGTCTTCCACCCCCCTCATACTCCCGAGCCCGGCCATATCAGATCGATCAGACCCTGGAAGGGGGATAAAATCTGGCGCTGCTTTGGCCTGTCTTAGTCTCTCTCGCTTTGCCTTTGCAGCTGCTATAGCAGCAGCGTCTGGAATAAAAGTGCCGCCAATATAACTACCTCCTGCCTTTCTTAGGCTTGTTCCTAGGCCTCCTCCCATTCCTCCCAATCCTCCCATTCCTGCTGCAGCACCTGCTGAACCTGCTGCACCTGAACCGCTAGCTCTGGCCTCTGCTTCGGCGGCTGCCGAGCCTGCAGGTTTCAGTGATCCCCGAAGCACGATGAGGGGTTCGGAGAGGGAGGGCGGGGTGACTGTGGCGGAGGGGGGGGCGGAGGCGGAGAGGGCTGCGCCTGCTGCAGCAACGGAGGCGGAAGGGGGAGGGGGGGTGCGTCTGGAGGCGGACGAAGGCGCTGCAATGCGCATGGTGTTGCGCTGGGGGGGGGAGGCGGGGTAGATGGGGTAGACAGGGGGAGAGAGGGGAGGTGAGGGAAAAGCACAGATTTGCAATGGGAAATGAGCAAAGGGAGGAGAGGGGCAGAGAGGGGAGTGAGATGGAGATGGAAGGAGGAGATAACACCAGCTCAATTGTCTATAAAACACTTGTCTTGAAAACGTTAACTAAACAGCAAGCTGAGGCACATACCGCCAGCTCAGCAAGTTTCTCCTTAGTATATTCCCCCGATTGCGGCACCACGTTCAGTGCGCCGCCAGCGGACGGTCCGCCCACCACCACCCCGCCACCGCCCTTCCCGCCCTCCCGCTTCTCCTCGCGCGCTTTCCGCTCCTCCCGCCCCTTCTTATCCCTGTTCACCCTATGTCCCTCCCCATGCCCCGTACCGAACCCCGCCGATCTAGATTTCGACTTGGATTCTTTCGAACTAGGTTTTGATCTCCCACCCACGGCGATCGCCATGCCGAAAGGCCCGCCGTCGTCGCCCTCCCCCTCTTCGTCTGCTGCGAAACTAAGCAAGCTTGAAGGTGTCGCCTTAGTCGCTGCCGGTGTCGCCTTAGGTTTGCTACTGGTCTTTAAGGCAGGGGGTTTCGCGGCGGCGGTCCCGCCGTTTCGCGCATCGCCTTTGTCGCTGCCGTCGCCGCCGCCGCCGTCGTCGTCGTCGTCCTGCCTGCGACGGAAATTCTTCTTCCTAAACATCGCAGAGAAACGGATAAAAAACCTGCTGGCTTCTCTGGCGGGGCTGAACGCTTTTACCGGAAATTACCTACACTATTGTCCGAATACTCATTGCAGGCGATACGAGAATACGCCGTGATGCCACTCGGGAATTCGCTCGGTGTTTTTCCCAGTCGTCGACTCAAGTTTCGATTCGCTGGCTGCCACGTGGCGCTCTATTTGCGGGACAAAGGTTCCAACCAAATATCTTCTCGCAACTGCCCGAACGAGTCACTGGATTACCGATCTGCGGCAAGCCAGCCGCGTGGGTGGTCGAGCGAAGACGGAATCCATATGATATGAAGACGATTGGACTAAATCCGCGACTTTAGTTCGACCCGATTCGCAAATCCCGGCGGACGAAGCGGAGGCTTTGTGCACAACCCAGAGAGTATCCGCATTGGAAACTTGAAATAGAAAACCTACTAGGAAATCATATGCTGCATTTTCTACTCTAAATTGGAATTGCGGCTCTATATTATACAAAAGAACTGCTCTTAAGCCATTGGTACAGAAAGTGTGCCCCACCCACCCCCACTGAAGAGAGTATTGTGTGGAGCAATGAGAAAGATCATAATGTTTTTGTTTCTTCTTCATCTTTTCTTCACTTCTTTTTGTCAGATTACGCAAACAAAATATGATTCCAATATGATTGCATAATGATACACTTATGACGATGTGCAATATATGCTATACATGTTGATGTTGATGTGCATGTGTGAAATCATATACACTGACGTTTAAATGCGTCGAATCTTGGTGGCGGGCTGCCCGTGTGCCAGCCCACTCCTCTCCCTCGTGCTGCGCGGCTGCATCTCCAAAGTGGTTTCAATTCAAAGCAAGTAGTTGAGGGGGTTTAGGCCAAGGAGGATATGATGGCATGAGAATGTGATGGCATGCAAAGATGAGAATAGGAAGGCAATTCTGATGGCATGGAAACGGTGGAACGGAGGATAAGTATGAATGCATGGGGATGGAGGACAGGAGGATAAATGTGATGGCATCGTGATGATACATCACAGGCACAATCAATAGCATGCACGATCCATGGCATGCACGATCCATGGCATGCACGACCCATGGCATGCACGATCCATGGCATGCATGATCCATGGCATGCACGATCCATGGCATGCATGATCCATGGCCGGCATATCAGACTTAACACATGCAGCGGGTCCGGGGGGGGGTACATACCTGTGAGGGAGGGTGGAAATGGTGTTGCTGCTGCTGGTGGTGAGACCCCTGCTGCTGCATCTGATTCTGTAAACCCTGCTGCTGGCTGTGCTGCTGTTGGCTATAGTGTTGCTGGTTGTGCTGTTGCTGCTGCCCCTGCTGCCCCTGCTGCTGCTGCTGCCCCCAGTCCCCTGCCCACCACCCCGGCTGCCCACACCCCCGCCCCCAGCACCTGCACTCCCCTCCCCTCCTCCTGACCCTGACCGGTGCAGCAGAGTCACGTTGGCCATGCGCTGCCCTGCTGCTGATGGCTGGTGTGGGGGAGGGATGCGGGATGAGGGATGGGGGATTCGCGATTGGGCAACAAGGAAATGGAGGAATGGGGGAATGGGCAGCACCCGCTCGTGGCTAGGGTGGTCCTGACCAGTGCAGCAGAGTGACGTTGACCATGCGCTGCCCTGGCGCTGATGGCTGGTGGGGGGGAAGGGGCGGGGGAAGGGGGATGGGGGATGGAGAATGGGGTTGGGGAAACGGACAGTGAGCACTGATGGCTTGAGCTTGAGCCCGATAGGTGCAGCAGAGTGACGTTGGCAATGCGCTGCCTCGGGGCTGGTGAATGCATGAGAGAGGGGTTGGGAATGGGGGATAGCGGATAGCGGATGGTGGATGCGGTATGGGGAATGGAGGATGGGAGATTGGGCAACAAGGAAAAGGGGGACTTGGGGAATGGGCAACAAACACTCGTGGCTTTCCCTTGATAGGTGCAGAAGAGTGACGTTTGTCATGCTGGCTGAACGCAGGGAGGGAGGAGATGGGGACCTGGAGACATGGATGGCAGCATGGATGGGGGCGTGGATGGCATGGGGCATGGTGGAATGACGATACAACACGAATGTCCCTCAAGTGCTCAATTTCCATACTTCCGCGCTTCAAGTAGCCCATCCTTGCATGCACACTCATGCACCACACCCACTCACACCCATGCACACCCACTCACACTCATGCACCACACCCACTCATACCAATGCACACTCACTCCCACCCATGCACACCCATCCACTACCCACTTGCTGATAGTGTCGATGCTGTTGCTGCTGCTGTTGTTGATGGTGTTGCTGATGGTGCTGCTGCTGCTGATGCTGATGCTGCGGATGGTGTTGCTGATGGTGCTGGTGCTGCTGGTGTGGCGGTGGCATGGCAGAGAGGCCAGCGACATGGGAGGAGGCAGCAGCGGAGGAGAGGGTGGAGATGCCTTCAAAGTCGGTCGACAAGTCCACGGGGCGCTTGGGGTACACCACTGGGCGCTCCATGGGATGACCTGAGAAGAATGAGCTGGGGAGGGAGGGAAGGAAGAGGAGGAAAGGAAGAGGAGGAGAGGGAGAGGGGAAAAGGGTGGGAGCAGAAAGGGTGGGACGTGCAAGGGTTTGGTTTGGGCGCCTGGCGAAGAGAGGAAGCAGCAGAGGAGGAGAGGGTGGAGATGCCTTCAAAGTCGGTTGACAGGTCCACGGGACGCTTAGGGTACACCACTGGGCGCTCCATGGGATGACCTGAGAAGAATGAGCTGGGGATGTGGGGAGGGGGGGAGGGGAGAAGGGCAGAGGACAGGACAAGGAGGGAGACAAGGGTGGAGAGGGTGAGGGGATTAGGGGCATGTGCTTGGGGTACACCACTGGCCGCGCCATGGGATGACCTGAAAAGAATGTGCTGGGTGGAGAAGAGGGGGGAAGGACAAGGGGAAAGGGGCGAGGGGAAGGCGTGAGCGGAACAGGGGACTGGCATGCGCTTGGTGCCCGATTCCCATACACCACTGGCCGCTCGCTCCATGGGATGGCCTGAGAAGAATGAGGTGGGAGGGTTGTGAGAGGAGAGGAATGGGGGCAGAGGAAGAGGGGAAGGGGTGAAGGTGAGGGAAAAGCGTGAACGGAATAGGAAACAAGAGGCATAGAAGCAGGAGTGTTGTAAAGGAATGCAAAAAATGGTGGTGGGGAGGAGAGCGGCATGGGGAGGAGAGCAGCATGGGGAGGAGAGCAGCATGGGGAAGAGAGCAGCATGGGGAGGAGAGCGGCATGGGGAGGAGAGCGGCATGGGGAGGAGAGCGGCATGGGGAGGAGAGCGGCATGGGGAGGAGAGCGGCATGGGGAGGAGAGCGGCATGGGGAGGAGAGCGGCATGGGGAGGAGAGCGGCATGGGGAGGAGAGCGGCATGGGGAGGAGAGCGGCATGGGGAGGAGAGCGGCATGGGGAGGAGAGCGGCATGGGGAGGAGAGCGGCATGGGGAGGAGAGCGGCATGGGGAGGAGAGCGGCATGGGGAGGAGAGCGGCATGGGGAGGAGAGCGGCATGGGGAGGAGAGCGGCATGGGGAGGAGAGCGGCATGGGGAGGAGAGCGGCATGGGGAGGAGAGCGGCATGGGGAGGAGAGCGGCATGGGGAGGAGAGCGGCATGGGGAGGAGAGCGGCATGGGGAGGAGAGCGGCATGGGGAGGAGAGCGGCATGGGGAGGAGAGCGGCATGGGGAGGAGAGCGGCATGGGGAGGAGAGCGGCATGGGGAGGAGAGCGGCATGGGGAGGAGAGCGGCATGGGGAGGAGAGCGGCATGGGGAGGAGAGCGGCATGGGGAGGAGAGCGGCATGGGGAGGAGAGCGGCATGGGGAGGAGAGCGGCATGGGGAGGAGAGCGGCATGGGGAGGAGAGCGGCATGGGGAGGAGAGCGGCATGGGGAGGAGAGCGGCATGGGGAGGAGAGCGGCATGGGGAGGAGAGCGGCATGGGGAGGAGAGCGGCATGGGGAGGAGAGCGGCATGGGGAGGAGAGCGGCATGGGGAGGAGAGCGGCATGGGGAGGAGAGCGGCATGGGGAGGAGAGCGGCATGGGGAGGAGAGCGGCATGGGGAGGAGAGCGGCATGGGGAGGAGAGCGGCATGGGGAGGAGAGCGGCATGGGGAGGAGAGCGGCATGGGGAGGAGAGCGGCATGGGGAGGAGAGCGGCATGGGGAGGAGAGCGGCATGGGGAGGAGAGCGGCATGGGGAGGAGAGCGGCATGGGGAGGAGAGCGGCATGGGGAGGAGAGCGGCATGGGGAGGAGAGCGGCATGGGGAGGAGAGCGGCATGGGGAGGAGAGCGGCATGGGGAGGAGAGCGGCATGGGGAGGAGAGCGGCATGGGGAGGAGAGCGGCATGGGGAGGAGAGCGGCATGGGGAGGAGAGCGGCATGGGGAGGAGAGCGGCATGGGGAGGAGAGCGGCATGGGGAGGAGAGCGGCATGGGGAGGAGAGCGGCATGGGGAGGAGAGCGGCATGGGGAGGAGAGCGGCATGGGGAGGAGAGCGGCATGGGGAGGAGAGCGGCATGGGGAGGAGAGCGGCATGGGGAGGAGAGCGGCATGGGGAGGAGAGCGGCATGGGGAGGAGAGCGGCATGGGGAGGAGAGCGGCATGGGGAGGAGAGCGGCATGGGGAGGAGAGCGGCATGGGGAGGAGAGCGGCATGGGGAGGAGAGCGGCATGGGGAGGAGAGCGGCATGGGGAGGAGAGCGGCATGGGGAGGAGAGCGGCATGGGGAGGAGAGCGGCATGGGGAGGAGAGCGGCATGGGGAGGAGAGCGGCATGGGGAGGAGAGCGGCATGGGGAGGAGAGGGGGGGCATGGGGAGGAGAGCGGCATGGGGAGGAGAGCAGCATGGGGAGGAGAGCAGCATGGGGAGGAGAGCAGCATGGGGAGGAGAGCAGCATGGGGAGGAGAGCGGCATGGGGAGGAGAGCGGCATGGGGAGGAGAGCGGCATGGGGAGGAGAGCGGCATGGGGAGGAGAGGAGGGGAGGAGAGCGGCATGGGGAGGAGAGCGGCATGGGGAGGAGAGCGGCATGGGGAGGAGAGCGGCATGGGGAGGAGAGCGGCATGGGGAGGAGAGCGGCATGGGGAGGAGAGCGGCATGGGGAGGAGAGCGGCATGGGGGGAGAGCGGCATGGGGAGGAGAGCGGCATGGGGAGGAGAGCGGCATGGGGAGGAGAGCGGCATGGGGAGGAGAGCGGCATGGGGAGGAGAGCGGCATGGGGAGGAGAGCGGCATGGGGAGGAGAGCGGCATGGGGAGGAGAGCGGCATGGGGAGGAGAGCGGCATGGGGAGGAGAGCGGCATGGGGAGGAGAGCGGCATGGGGAGGAGAGCGGCATGGGGAGGAGAGCGGCATGGGGAGGAGAGCGGCATGGGGAGGAGAGCGGCATGGGGAGGAGAGCGGCATGGGGAGGAGAGCGGCATGGGGAGGAGAGCGGCATGGGGAGGAGAGCGGCATGGGGAGGAGAGCGGCATGGGGAGGAGAGCGGCATGGGGAGGAGAGCGGCATGGGGAGGAGAGCGGCATGGGGAGGAGAGCGGCATGGGGAGGAGAGCGGCATGGGGAGGAGAGCGGCATGGGGAGGAGAGCGGCATGGGGAGGAGAGCGGCATGGGGAGGAGAGCGGCATGGGGAGGAGAGCGGCATGGGGAGGAGAGCGGCATGGGGAGGAGAGCGGCATGGGGAGGAGAGCGGCATGGGGAGGAGAGCGGCATGGGGAGGAGAGCGGCATGGGGAGGAGAGCGGCATGGGGAGGAGAGCGGCATGGGGAGGAGAGCGGCATGGGGAGGAGAGCGGCATGGGGAGGAGAGCGGCATGGGGAGGAGAGCGGCATGGGGAGGAGAGCGGCATGGGGAGGAGAGCGGCATGGGGAGGAGAGCGGCATGGGGAGGAGAGCGGCATGGGGAGGAGAGCGGCATGGGGAGGAGAGCGGCATGGGGAGGAGAGCGGCATGGGGAGGAGAGCGGCATGGGGAGGAGAGCGGCATGGGGAGGAGAGCGGCATGGGGAGGAGAGCGGCATGGGGAGGAGAGCGGCATGGGGAGGAGAGCGGCATGGGGAGGAGAGCGGCATGGGGAGGAGAGCGGCATGGGGAGGAGAGCGGCATGGGGAGGAGAGCGGCATGGGGAGGAGAGCGGCATGGGGAGGAGAGCGGCATGGGGAGGAGAGCGGCATGGGGAGGAGAGCGGCATGGGGAGGAGAGCGGCATGGGGAGGAGAGCGGCATGGGGAGGAGAGCGGCATGGGGAGGAGAGCGGCATGGGGAGGAGAGCGGCATGGGGAGGAGAGCGGCATGGGGAGGAGAGCGGCATGGGGAGGAGAGCGGCATGGGAGGAGAGCGGCATGGGGAGGAGAGCGGCATGGGGAGGAGAGCGGCATGGGGAGGAGAGCGGCATGGGGAGGAGAGCGGCATGGGGAGGAGAGCGGCATGGGGAGGAGAGCGGCATGCGGCATGGGGAGGAGAGCGGCATGGGGAGGAGAGCGGCATGGGGAGGAGAGCGGCATGGGGAGGAGAGTGGGGAGGAGAGCTGCATGGGGAGGAGAGCGGCATGTGCGATGCGGCATGCGGCCTGTGCATGCGACAAGATGCGCTGCATAAGGGGTGCAGCACGTGAAGGAAATGGAACGACAGAGAGATAAGCGAGATGGCGAGACAAGTGAGGCGAATTAGGTGGACGAGTGCGGCATGAAGGGGACTGGAAGAGAGGAGAGGGGAGCGGGAAGGGATACTGGAGGTCAGTAGAATAGAAAGCGAAGGGGTGGTGTGGAAATGAGGAGATCACGAGCAGAAAGGGACGAAATAATGACTGATGAAGCGAAGCCAATTCAATAGAGATCTAGTGTGGGCGTGGGCGTGGGTGTGGGTGTGGTTGTGTTGAAGGGTTTCCAGCTTGAGGCTCTCTGTACCTGGCCGTGGGAAAGGAACTCACTCGTGCTCGAGAGCCTGCCCTGCTGTTATCCGCTTCTTGGGGTCATAGCTGCACAACACAGGCATGGTGTGGCAGGCAGGGCGAATGGCAATCAGATGCAAAGGTTTGTAGATTGTTTGAGGTGCAGAAAGAAATAGGTGTGTACGCACTAGGGAACGCGCAGCAGTGGGCTGGGTGGGTAAGAGGGAGTTCTTGAATGGGCGGGTGGGTGGGTGGGTGGGTGGGCAGCGCACAACGCACTCGAGCATGCGCAGCAGCACAGCAGGTTGACAGCGTGTGAGTTTTGAATCACATTAACAAACTCGTCACGTTTGGAAAGAGGCGCAGGGAATGAGAAGAGGTGGGGTACGCACTCGAGCATGCGCAGCAACAGGTTGACAGCTTGTGAGTTGGGCGACCAGCTCTGGAGAATGCGGTAGAGCTCTGGCTGGGGGCTGTGAGGGGGGTGCGGGGGGAAGGGAGGGGCGCATGAGAACATGGCAGCACGAAAGCATGCGGGCATGAAGGCACGAAGACCAGCTCTGGAGAATGCGGTAGAGCTCTGGCTGGGGGCTGTGAGGGGGTTGTGGGGGGAGGAAAGGCATGAGGGCATGAAAACATGAGGGCATGAGGGCATGAGGGCATGAGGGCATGAGGGCATGAAGGCATGAGGGCATGAGGGCATGAGAGCGTGAAGAGCAGCTGTGCAGAATTCGGTAGAGCTCTGGCTGGGGGCTGTGAGGGGGGTGCAGGGCAGGGGGAGGAGGTGCAGGGGGAGGAGGTGCAGGGGGAGGAGGTGCAGGGGGAGGAGGTGCAGGGGGAGGAGGTGCAGGGGGAGAAGGTGCAGGGGGAGGAGGTGCAGGGGGAGGAGGTGCAGGGGGAGGAGGTCCAGGGGGAGAAGGTGCAGGGGGAGGAGGTGCAGGGGGAGGAGGTGCAGGGGGAGGAGGTGCAGGGGGAGGAGGAGCAGGACAGTGGTGAGAGCACAGGAGAAGACGGGTATAAGGACAACAGGGCATACGGGCATAGGGGTAAAGGTACAAGCGGCACAGGGGCAAACGAGCATAAGGGCAAACGAGCATAAGGGCAAACGAGCATAAGGGCAAACGAGCATAAGGGCAAACGAGCATAAGGGCAAACGAGCATAAGGGCAAACGAGCATAAGGGCAAACGAGCATAAGGGCAAACGAGCATAAGGGCAAACGAGCATAAGGGCAAACGAGCATAAGGGCAAACGAGCATAAGGGCAAACGAGCATAAGGGCAAACGAGCATAAGGGCAAACGAGCATAAGGGCAAACGAGCATAAGGGCAAACGAGCATAAGGGCAAACGAGCATAAGGGCAAACGAGCATAAGGGCATACGAGCATAAGGGCAAACGAGCATAAGGGCAAACGAGCATAAGGGCAAACGAGCATAAGGGCAAACGAGCATAAGGGCAAACGAGCATAAGGGCAAACGAGCATAAGGGCAAACGAGCATAAGGGCAAACGAGCATAAGGGCAAACGAGCATAAGGGCAAACGAGCATAAGGGCAAACGAGCATAAGGGCAAACGAGCATAAGGGCAAACGAGCATAAGGGCAAACGAGCATAAGGGCAAACGAGCATAAGGGCAAACGAGCATAAGGGCATAAGGGCATACGAGAGACCAGGTGTGCGACAGGTGATTTACTCTGAATCCGTGCAGAGTAAACCACAACTCACTACTTCTTGACTTTTGAGTCGACTCAAAAGTCACTCTGAATCCGTGCAGAGTAAACCACAACTCACTACTTCTTGACTTTTGAGTCGACTCAAAAGTCACTCTGAATCCGTGCAGAGTAAACCACAACTCACTACTTCTTGACTTTTGAGTCGACTCAAAAGTCACTCTGAATCCGTGCAGAGTAAACCACAACTCACTACTTTTTGACTTTTGAGTCGACTCAAAAGTCACTCTGAATCCGTGCAGAGTAAACCACAACTCACTACTTCTTGACTTTTGAGTCGACTCAAAAGTCACTCTGAATCCGTGCAGAGTAAACCACAACTCACTACTTCTTGTGCTGAATGGGAATCACTTTTGAGAATTCTCAAAACTGACTCACTACTTCTTGAGCTGAATGGGAATCACTTTTGAGAATTCTCAAAACTGACTCACTACTTTTTGTGCTGAATGAATAAGTTGCCAGTTCACCCACCAGTGACTTTTGAAATTTCTCAAACGTGAACCAAATATAGCCAGAGCCATCCCCCGACTCACTACTTCTTGTCTTGAATCAGTTGCCGGTTCGCCTGCCAGTGCGGCAGGTACTGCAGCATGGGCCACTTGTCCACCGTGGGGTGACCTGATGGGTGTTGAGGGGTTGAAAGGAGTAGGAGATGGTTAAAAAGGGAAACTGAGGCTTGGGATGGTGCTGGCAGGTACTGCAGCATGGGCCACTTGTCCACTATGGGGTGAACTAATGGGGAACAAGGGGTTGAGAAGGGTGACAGGCGGTGACAAGGTGTGAGCAACTCACTTGGCACTGCAGCAACATTGTGCCAATTGTGCAGCTTAAGGTGGCCCTGCCTGAGTGTGGTACGGTTTGACTTGGTTGGAAGTGGTGAGTAAAATGCCCATGACTTAGCTTACGAACTTTTAGGTGCAAGCCAGTGCATACAGTATGCGCTTCAAAAGTGCTCACATATGCAAATCACTTTTGAGAATTCTCAAAAGTGATTTCACAAGTGCTCACATATGCAAGCATCCATGCAGTACCCATCGGAAGCCCACCCAGCACCCACCTCGCACCACCAGGCACCACCTGTCACCATTTAACACCACTTATCACAACTTATCACCATCTAGCACCACCTATCACCATTTATCACCACTTATCACTACTTACCACCACCTAGCACCACCTATCAACACGCATCACCCACCTAGCACTCTGAATATCTTATCCAGCTGGTCCTTCTGCCGTGCACGGGAGATGTGCGAGGTGAGGAGAAAGGGGAGAGGGAAAAGGGGAGAGGTGAAATGAGCCCGAAGTACGACGGAAATATACTGCGTTGCTTTATTGGCCAGCGAAACTACACCAGCGGGAGGAGGAGAAGAAGCACGGGCAGGGGACACGAGCAGGAGGGAGAGCAAGAGCAGAAGCAGGAGGGAGAGCAGGAAGGAACAGGAGCAGGAGCAGGAGAGGGAGGAAGAGCAGGAGCAGGGAGGGGAGCAGGGAGGGGAGCAGAGGCAGAGGCAGAGGCAGCGGACCTGGAAGGCATTGGCGGAGGTTTTATCCTCAAGGCCCTGGAACAAGGGCTTGAGCGTGAGGAGCTCTGCGAATATGCACCCCACCGCCCACATGTCTGGCGGTGCGGGTGGCGGGTAATGGACAGTGCAGTGGAGGTTGGTATGGTAATGCAGAGGCAGAAAGAAGCAGGCAAGTAGAAGCAGGTGAGAGGAAGCAGAAGGATGTCAAAAGAAGTGGAATAGGGGAAGGCATCAATAGCATACTTGTTTTCAAGGCGCGTTATAAGAAGGGAGGAGTGGAGGAGGGGAGGAAGGGAGGATGGGAAGAGGAAAAGATACATACCGACAGCACAAGTGTAATGCCGCGAGCCAAGCAGCAGCTCAGGGGATCGGTACCAGATGGTGACCACTACCTGGAAGGAACAAGGGGGGTGAGGAGAGGAGCGAGGATGGGAGTGAGGAGGAGGGAGTGTGGAGAGCAGTGAGGAGGAGAGTGAGTGAGGAGGGGAGTGAGGAGAAAATCGAGAAGGGTGAAGGGGGAGAGGAGTGAGGAGACGAATGAGGATCAGTGTGAGGACAAGAGCGAGGGGACAGAGAGAGTAAGAATGTGGCATTGAATACAATATCGGATGGCTGAAACAACCTGGACATGCGTGAAGCAACTTTTGAGAATTCTCAAAAGTCACTCCAACAACCTGCACATGCGTGAAGCACGCACTGAGAAGCGTAGCGCAGACGTAGCGAGTTCTGAGATGTCTCAATTAAATGAATACTGGATGGCCACAACAACACGGAACGATTCAGGGCGCGCATTGAGTCGATTTTTGAGTCGACTCAAAAATCGACAAGCCACAACAACACGGCACAAAGCGCATTGAGAAGCACGGCACAAAGCGCATTGAGAAGCACGGCACAAAGCGCATTGAGAAGCACGGCACAACGCGCATTGAGAAGCACGGCACAACGCGCATTGAGAAGCACGGCACAAAGCGCATTGAGAAGCACGGCACAACGCGCATTGAGAAGCACGGCACAAAGCGCATTGAGAAGCACGGCACAACGCGCATTGAGAAGCACGGCACAAAGCGCATTGAGAAGCACGGCACAAAGCGCATTGAGAAGCACGGCACAACGCGCATTGAGAAGCACGGCACAAAGCGCATTGAGAAGCACGGCACAAAGCGCATTGAGAAGCACGGCACAAAGCGCATTGAGAAGCACGGCACAACGCGCATTGAGAAGCACGGCACAAAGCGCATTGAGAAGCACGGCACAACGCGCATTGAGAAGCACGGCACAAAGCGCATTGAGAAGCACGGCACAAAGCGCATTGAGAAGCACGGCACAACGCGCATTGAGAAGCACGGCACAAAGCGCATTGAGAAGCACGGCACAAAGCGCATTGAGAAGCACGGCACAAAGCGCATTGAGAAGCACGGCACAAAGCGCATTGAGAAGCACGGCACAACGCGCATTGAGAAGCACGGCACAACGCGCATTGAGAAGCACGGCACAAAGCGCATTGAGAAGCACGGCACAAAGCGAGGAAAAAACAAGCAACTGGGACGAGGACATGTTAGGTGCCCTGGGACGAGGACATGTTAGGTGCCCTGGGACGAGGACATGTTAGGTGCCCTGGGACGAGGACATGTTAGGTGCCCTGGGAGGAGGACATGTTAGGTGCCCTGGGACGAGGACATGTTAGGTGCCCTGGGACGAGGACATGTTAGGAGCCCTGGGACGAGGACATGTTAGGTGCCCTGGGACGAGGACATGTTAGGTGCCCTGGGACGAGGACATGTTAGGTGCCCTGGGACGAGGACATGTTAGGTGCCCTGGGACGAGGACATGTTAGGTGCCCTGGGACGAGGACATGTTAGGTGCCCTGGGACGAGGACATGTTAGGTGCCCTGGGACGAGGACATGTTAGGTGCCCTGGGACGAGGACATGTTAGGTGCCCTGGGACGAGGACATGTTAGGTGCCCTGGGAAGAGGACATGTTAGGAGCCCTGGGACGAGGACATGTTAGGTGCCCTGGGACGAGGACATGTTAGGTGCCCTGGGACGAGGACATGTTAGGTGCCCTGGGACGAGGACATGTTAGGTGCCCTGGGACGAGGACATGTTAGGTGCCCTGGGACGAGGACATGTTAGGTGCCCTGGGACGAGGACATGTTAGGTGCCCTGGGACGAGGACATGTTAGGTGCCCTGGGACGAGGACATGTTAGGTGCCCTGGGACGAGGACATGTTAGGTGCCCTGGGACGAGGACATGTTAGGTGCCCTGGGACGAGGACATGTTAGATGCCCTGGGACGAGGACATGTTAGGAGCCCTGGGACGAGGACATGTTAGGAGCCCTGGCAGATAAAGAGCCTAGGGCCTTTGGACGAGGATTGATTTGATGTGGATTGGATTGGATTCGATAGGGGTCCAAAGGCCCTAGGCTCACCCCGTTATCGGAGAGCGGTCGCAGGGGCGACTGGAAGATGCGAGCAAGGCCAAAGTCGCCGATCTTGATCACCCCTTGCTCCTCGCCCTCGCCCATCACCTGGAGAGGGTGGGCGCATGTGGTTGAATGTGGTAAAAAATGGTTGACTGCGATTAAACCTATGTATGCGAATGCGATCTTGATCACCCCTTGATCCTTGCCCTCGCCCATCACCTGGTGGGGGTGAGTGCATGTGAGTGAGTGAGAGTGAATGTATGTATGTGAGTGTGTGCGAGTGTGTGTGAGCGTGTGTGAGCGTGTGTGAGCGTGTGTGAGCGTGTGTGTGCGTGTGTGTGAGTGTGTGTGGGTGTGTGTGGGTGTGTGAGCGTGTGTGAGCGTGTGTGAGCGTGTGTGAGCGCTGTGAGCGTGTGTGAGCGTGTGTGTGCGTGTGTGTGAGTGTGTGTGCGTGTGTGAGCGTGTGTGAGCGTGCGTGTGAGTGTGTGAGCGTGTGTGAGCGTGTGTGAGCGTGTGTGAGCGTGTGTGAGCATGCATAAGCATTGCAGAGAGAGCACAGCATAAACTGTGAGAAAACGACGTACTATTTGCCAGCGTTCAGGGTGTTTCAACAATCATCATGACTCCAGAACAGCGCTGGATATCAGGAAACGCGGCGTGCGCTTGCCACACTGGTGACGAGTTTAGAAGGACGTTACCAGTGTGGCAAGCGCATGCCACGCTGTTAAAGAGCGTCTTTTCGGATTTCTCAAAAATCTCTGGCCAGCTTGCCACACTGGTGTTGATGTCAAACCTTATCCAGCTGTTGGTTCTCAAGAAAACTCACAAGCTGGCAAGCTTACAAGAATGTTAGAGGGCTTCAAGTCCCGATGAATGATCCAATTGCTGCGACACATGGAAGACAGGAGGAAGCGATCCACACACACGATGACTCCAGAAGAACAAAAAAGAGTGGTTGGTATCACAGAAGCAATGAGCACAGCAGGGCACAGCAGCACAATGGCAGGCGTCAATACACAGAGGACACGCAGCAGCAGCATGGGATCCATGCAGCAGGAATGAAAATGCATGAGTGAGTGAGCTGCACCGGGTAGGGCAGTGCTTGCCTTGCCCCATCCACCCATCCACCCATCCACCCATCCACCCATCCACCCATCCACCCATCCACCCATCCACCCATCCACCCATCCACCCATCCACCCACCCGCCCACCCGCCCACCTGTGCAGGTAGTGCAGGACGTTGAGCAGCTTCCAGAGCAGCGACTTCACCGTGTACTCAGAGACAGGGCGCTTCAGATGCTCAGTGAGTGCTTGCCATGTGCTTGACACGTGCTTGACACGTGCTTGACACGTGCTCGCCTTGCCCCACCCTCCTACCCACCTGTGCAGGTAGTGCAGGCCGTTGAGCAGCTGCCACAGCAGCGACTTGACCGTGTACTCGGAGAGAGGGCGCTTCAGATGCTCTCGGTGAAAACGGATGATCTCCTGTGGCGTGTATGCATGGGGGAGGGGCATAGCATGGCATGGGGGACCGGCATGAGAGAATGGCATGAGAGGATGGCATGAGGGGATGGCATGAGGGGATGGCATGAGGGGATGGCATGAGGGGATGGCATGAGGGGATGGCATGAGGGGATGGCATGAGGGGATGGCATGGGGTATGGCACTGATTAGTTTAGGGCTCTCACAGAGGTGCTCTCACTGAGGCGGTGCTCTCACAGAGAAAGGACAAGGACGCACAGGTCGCGTGAGTGGGTTGGGGCTCACAGGTCATGCTCAGCTCGCAGTGGTCAGTCAGCGGCAAGAAAGTGGTGCTGTCACGAGGTGCTCACGTAGAGGTCATGTTCCGCGTAGTCGAAGGCGAGGAAGAGCGACATGTCGTTGTGGTTGATGTGCACATTCAGCAGCTGCACTATGTTCTCGTGCTCGCACTCCTGCAGTAGCTGGTGTGGGGAGAGCAAGAAAGTCGCATGTGTGAAAAACTCATGTGTGCGCTGAATAGCTTATGAAACCCCTCCCCTCCCCTCCCCCATCCCTCCACCATCCCTTGCGCCGGTCCTTGCCCAGAGACACCAGCCCATACGTTCCCTCGCCCTCCTCCCCCCACTTACCCCTCCCCTTACCCCCACCCTCTCCCTCCCCCATCCCTCCCCCATCACTCCCCCATCCCTCCCCCATCCCTCCACCATCCCTTGCTCTGGCCCTTGGCCAGAAACACCAGCCCATACCATACGTCCCCATTCCCCATCCCAGACACGCCATCGCCCTCCTTGGTCTGTTTGAACTTCTTAAGTACCGATGGTGGAGGATGAGAGGGGGAGGGGGGAGGGGGAGGGGGATGGGAGGGGGAGGGGGCAGGAGGGGGATGGGGATGGGGACACACCTCGCCTTCCTTCCTCCCCCTCCCTTTCCCCCTCGCCCCGACCCCTTGCCCTCCCCCCCCCCCCCCCTTAATCCTCGCCTTCCTCCCCGCCCCCCATCCCCCCTCCCCCTCTCACCATGATCTCGCGAATGGCAGTAGGAGACACACCATCGCCCTCCTTGGTCTGTTTGAACTTCTTCAGAGCAGATCGCCCCGACCCCTTGCCTTTGCGCCGGTCCTTGGCCAGATACACCAGCCCATACGTCCCCTCGCCGATCTTCCCCACTATCTCGTAATCATCCAGCCAATCTGGTCGCTCGGGCAGAATAGCATGTTCCACGTGGCCGTCGTGCATTGGCAGCTGCTCCGAAACCTGCCCGGAAGTCTGCCCGGTTCCCTGCCCGTGCCCTTGGGGTTGGCCCCCCGGCTCCTGACCGTCCGTTTGAAGGTGCCCTTTCGTCTGCCCGGACGCCTGCCCGTGAGTGGCATCCTGCCCGGAGGAATTATGCTGCTGCTGCTGCTGGTGCTGCTGTCTGTGTGCTTCTGGTTGCTGCTGTGATGATTCTTGTTGTAACCTTTGCGCCTGCCCCCCCTGCTGCCCCCTATGCTGTCCCCCCTGCTGCCCCGTCTGATGCCCCCCCTGCTGCTCTGCCTGCGCATCCCCCTGCTGCTCCCCCTGCGCTTGCACCCGCGACTGCTGCTTCCGCGGCAGGGGCGGAAGCGGGGCGTGCGCTGGCGGGTTTGCGCCCCCGGCCAGTTGCGCCTTCCCATGCCCTCCCTGACCCTGCGGCGGCTTCCCCGGATCCCCCTGTACAGGCTGCGACTTCCCCGCATCCCCTCCAGCTTGCCGCGCGGCCTGCGCTTGCGCCGTGCGCCGTTGCACCGCGGTCTGGCGCAACTGCTGCCGCTTCTGCTGCGCCGGTTGCCGCTGCTGGGGGGGAAGCGCGCGCTGGTGCGCCCTCTGCTGCGCGGGCTGCGCCAGCTGCGCCTGCGCCTGCGCGTTTGGCGGCTGAGCCGCCGAGCTTACATTGTGCGCCTGCTCTTGTTGCTGCGACTGCTGCTGCTGCGACGGCTGTGCGACCTGACTGTGCGACTGGCCTTGCTGGTGCTGCTGCTGCTGCTGCTGCGACGTCCGCCGCTGTTGCGACGCGTTGCGCGACCGCTGGTAGGCTGCGCGCTCCACCATGCTCGCGGCTATTCCTGCACGCCTGAATAGGGGCTCCTACGGTAGTACTAATAAATGTAGTCTAAGGCCGTGTTACATTTTTCAAAATCACTGAAAGTCCGTACGGTAGTCCGAACGCGCGCGAAGATTGCGACGTCGCGCGGTCGCGTGGCGACCAATATGATGTCGTAAGTAAGCAAAACGAAGCATGCGACGTCGTTTAGACTCTAACGAACTCACTGCCGATATTTAACGAGTTTTGTAACCACACAGTCGTTCGGACGGTAGCCCATCCGGACGAAAATTTAAAAAAATGTAACACGCCCTAACCAACCAATGGTTGTCTTCTCTTTACCTTGTGCGGTTCCAATGGATTCGCTGCGCTAACAAACGGTTGTGTTTGGAACGTCCTGTGTAGGGCAGCGAATTCCCCTCCGATGATTTCGCATCGCTTGACACCCATTATACAAGGACGCCATTTGAATACTGTCCTGAGGATTCCTTTTGTAGAAACTAGGAGGTATTGCTAGAAGTAATAAATACTTCATAGTTGCAACTCTTGATAACCTCCGATTAAATAAAAATTGAATTGGAAGACGTCCAGACAAACATCTAGAAGCATTTGAAAGCCTCTGTATAGAAAATTCTGCATTCAACGTATACAGAAGAGGGTGCGCGTACACTAACGCGAGACATACGGCACAACAATTATGGACCTGTGTCAAAGGAGTTGTCACCAATCCAATACCATGTCATACCAGCAATGCTTACAAACTGGTCTCCTTGGAGACCACATAAGGATGGACTTTGTCGTTCATGTACATATGTAGGGGTTGCTAGAGACCTGCATGTGGGACGCAACACAGCAGGGGAAGTAGCAAAAATATAATCGCTTGCCACAAGCTCACTCACTGACTTGTCGACCAACCCTTCACTTGTTCACCATTCCCTGATTGGTGGCAAACAATTTGCAATAGAACCCACCATTTCGATCCCAACCAACTCAACCAAAAATTTGCAAATCGGTAAATCTCTCACCTTCAATGACCTGTGCCTTGCGGAGCAGGTACAGCAGCCGCTTCCTCTGCTCCTCTGCAGCCAGCAGCGAGTCTGTGAGGTTGCGCACCGTCTCCCTCTTTGCCTCCCGCATCACCTCCAAGTCCTCCCGAGTCAGCTGTGCCTCCTCCTCCGCTGCCCTCCTCCCTTCCTCCGCTGCCCTCCTCCCTGCCTCCGCCTGCTCCCGTCTCTCCCTCTCCTCCTCCTTCTCCCTCCTCTCCTCTTCCTTTGCTCTCTTCTCTTCCTCCTTGGCAGCTCGCTCTTCCTCCCTCCCCTTTCTCTCTCCCTCCACCGCTCCTCGCAATCGCACACCCTCCTCCTCTGCTTCCTTCACTCTCTTCTCAAGCTTCTCCCCCTCTCCTTTCACATGCTCCAACTCTCCTTCCACTTCACTCAGCCGCTTCTCCCACCCTTCTTGCGCCATCCGAAGCTCCGCCCGAACCTCCTCCGCAGCGTTGGCAGCCGCCGAGGCTATGGCAGCTTCGGACGCAGCCTGGGCGGCGACGAGTTCATTGAGAATGGACTGCATCGCCTCGTCTTTTTCCGCACACGCACTGCACGGCATGGATTGTCTTGCTACCGCCTCCTCCCTTCCCTTCTCAGCCTCCTCTCTCATCCTTTCAGCTTCCTCCCTTGCCTTCTCTGCTTCTTCCCTCGCCCTCTCAGCTTCTTCCCTCACCGTCCTCTCCTCCTCACACCTCTTCTCACTCCTCTCCTCCACCTCTGCTGCCTTCTCCACTGCCTCCTTCCAAGCTGCCTCAGCCTCTTCTCTCGCCGCCTCTGCCACTTCCTTTGCCATCTCAGCCTCCTGCCTTGCCATTTCAGCCACCTCCAAAGCCTGCTTAAGCTCTTCAAGCCTTGCCTCCGTCGCTCTCCTACACTCCTCAGCCTCATCCCATGACTTTTGAATCCCCTCTCTTGATCCCAACGCTTCATCTCTCGCCGCCTCCGCCTCTCTCCTTGACTCCTCCACAACCTCCCACGCTCTCACCGCCTCATCTCTTGCTTCACACGCTTCATCCCTCTCCTTCTCCACCTCCTCAGCCCTCGCTTCTGCCTCTCGCTTCGCCTTCTCAGCTTCATCCCTCGCCCTAAGCGCCTCGTCCCTGGCTTCCAAAGCCTCGTCCTTTTCTCTTACTACCTCATGCATCACATGCACAGCCTCGTCCCTCTCTTTCACCGCCACCTCTCTCTCCCTCTCTGCCTCCTCCACCCCAGCCACCCTCTCTAGCTGCACGCCCGTTTTACTCACAATCGCTTCCAGCTCCCTCCGCCTCTCCTCCGCCGCTTCCCACCGCACTCTCAGCTCGTCCCTCTCCCTCTCCAACTCCCCCTTTTCCAACAAGCTCATACTAACCACACTCGTCTCCCCGCCACTGCCGTTAGGATTCGGCCACCCTCTGAGTGGCACCTCTGCTGCCGCACCCTCTGGCAGCACCTCTTTCTGAGAGCAGTTGCAATGCGAGATCACTCCCTTCACCTGCTCTTCCTCCCCACTGCTCTCCCGACCCTTCTCCTCCCGGCTGCATACCTTATCCTCCTCCCCCGCACTGCTCTCCCCATCCTCCTTTCCTCCACTGCATCCCCTATCCTCCCCCTCCATACCATCACTTTCCACTTCCTCTCCCTCAGTCTCTCCCTCAGTCTCTCCCTCCATCTCTCCCCTCGCCTCAACAAGTTGCTCCTCGGATTCTGCAACTATCACCACGCCCTCTTCAGGGCCGAACACCACGGCCTCCCCTCGTTCTTTACCTTCTGCCTCCCCTCCTTCCCTCCCTGCCCCCTCTCCTCGTCTCTCTGCTACCTCTCTCAACCTCTCAGCTTCCATCATCTTCTCGCTCTCCTCCCTCCCTCTCTCCGCCTCCTCTCTCCCCCTCTCAGCCTCCTCTCTCCCCCTCTCCGCCTCCTCTCTCCCCCTCTCCGCCTCCTCTCTCCCCCTCTCAGCCTCGCTCAGCATCCCCAGCGCCTCTTCCCAGCTCGCCTCAGCCTCCTCTTTCGCCCTCTCCATCTCATCCCTCGCCGCCCCTGCTGCCTCCGCAGCCACCTCCGCTTCTTCCCTCCTCCTCTCCGCCTCCTCTCTCGCCCACTCAGACTCCTTCCTCAACCTCTCTCCTTCTGCCAACTTCCTCTCCATCACCTCTCTCCACACCTCTGCTTCCTGCAATACCACCTCGACCACCAACACTGCCCCCTCTGCTTCTCCCCAACGCCTCTCCACCTCTTCTCTCTGCGCCTCAGTCTCCTGCAATACCACCTCTACTAGCGACAGTGCGCCCTCTGCTTCTTCTCTCCTCCTTTCCGCCTCGTCTCTCGCACGCTCATCTTCCTCCCGAAACCCCTCTCCTTCTGCTAATCTCCTCTCCACCCCTTCTCTCCACACCTCCGCCTCCTGCAATACCACCTCTGCTATAAACAGCGTGCCCTCTGCTACTTCTCTCCTCTTTTCCGCCTCTTCTATCATTGCTTCTGCCTCTGTCACTCGCCTTGCTGCTTCCCCGCTCGCCGTACTAGCCTCCTCAGCTCGTGTTTCAGCCTCTTCTGCCCTCCTGTAAGCGTCCTGCTGCTCCCTCTCAGCCTCTTCCTTCGCCCTCTCAGCCTCTTCCTTCTCCTTCTCAGCTCTCTCCCTCTCCCCTTCACCCTTCTCCTTCTCTCTCTCCAGCACTTCTATCCGACTCCTCCAATCTTCCACCTCCTCTTCCACCTGTTCCCTCTCCCTCTTCCCTTCTCCCTTCCGCCCATCCACTCTCATCCTTTCTGCGCCCTCACCTGTCACTGCCTCTGCCCTTCCAGCCTCACCACCTGCGCCTCCTCCTTCTTGCTCCCCATTCCCCTCCTCTCCCTCTGTTTTTGACTTCCCTGTCTTTTCGCTTGCCTTCTCCAGCACCTCAATCTTGGCCACCAGCTCACTCAGTTCTTTTTCAACCTCTTCCACTCTCCTCTCCGCCTCTTCCACTCTCCTCTCCGCCTCTTCCCTCCTCCTCTCCGCCTCATCTCTATCCTTCTCCGCCTCTTCCCTTCGAACCTCTGCCTGCACTACTGCCTCTAGCGCCTCTTCTAGTGCCCTCTCTGCCTCATCTCCCCTCCTATCTGCCTCCTCTCCCCTCCTCTCTGCCTCCTCTCTCCTCCTCTCTGCCTCCTCTCTCCTCCTCTCTGCTTCCTCTCTCCCTTCTCTGCCACTTCTCTCATCTTCTCTGCCTCTTCTCTGCTCTGCTCCGCCTCCTCTCTCCTCCTCTCTGTCTCCCCCGTCCGCCCATCCACCACAAAACCTGCCTCCAGTGCGTCTTCTAACGCCTTCTCTGCCTCTGCTCTCCTCATCCCCTCGTCTTTCCATGCTTTCCCCGCCTCCTCCCTTGCTTTCTCCGCCTCCTCCCTTGCCTTCTCTGCCTCCTCCCTTGCTTTCCCCGTTTCCTCCCTTTCCCTCTCCGCCTGCTCTTTCTCCCTCAAAGCATCATCTCTCATCCTCTCAGCCTCATCCCTCTGCTCCTCGGCTCTCACTCTCCACTCTTCTGCCTCAACCTTCTCACTCTCCACCGCTGCGCGTGCCATCTCAGCCTCTTCCAACCGTGCCAAAGCCTCAACCTTCGCCCTTTCCGCTTCTTCTCTCCCAGCCTCCGCCTCCCCTCTCCTCCTCTCTGCCTCCGCCTTCTCATTCCCCACGTCCACCAGCTGCTTCTCAACTTCCTCCAACTTCCTCTCAGCCTCATCCCTCTGCTCCTCTGCTCTCACTCTCCTCCCTTCTGCCTCAACCCTCTCTCTCTGTGCCTCCTCTCTCCTCCTCTCTGCCTCAGCCTTTTCATTCCCCATGTCCACCAGCTGTTTCTCAACTTCCTCTAATTTCCGCTCAGACTCCTCCTGCTTCCCCCTCACCTCGTCAAGGATCCCCTTCAGCTCCTCCAGTCTCCTCTTCGCCTCCTCCCGCCTCCTCTCCGCTTCCTCCCTGTCGCTCTCCACCGCTCTCCACCACTTCTCATCATCCTTAACCGCAACAGCCTCCTGCCATCTCCCTTCCACCTCGCCCCTCCCACCCACCAACCCGTCACACTTACTTGAACACCCCACACAAACTGTCACTTTGTCTCCATCCCCTCCTACTGCTTCAGTTTCATTTGCGTTTTCTGTCCCACTCGCCTCCCTCTCCCCACTCGCCTCCCTCTCCCCACTCGCCTCCCTCTCCCCACTCACCTCCCTCTCCTCAACCAACCCTCTCGCCTCCCTTTCCCTAATCGCCTCCCTTTCCCTTACCGCCACCCTCTCCCCAACCAGCCCTCGTGCCTCCCGCGCCCCAATGGCCCCTCCGAGCGCCCCAACAGCCTCATCAATCACGAGCATCGCCTCGTCCCTCTCTGCCGTCACCCTGTCAAGAATCCTGACTGCTTCGTTCCTCTCTTCTACCGCCAACGCAAAGGCCTCAATTGCCCTGTCCCGCTCCTCCCTCACTGCTTCAATCACCAGCATTGCCTCATCCCTCTCCCTAACAGCCTCCTCAACAGCCTTCATTGCTTCATCCCTCTCCCTAACAGCCTCTGCAACAGCCCTCTCCAGCTCACCCCTCTCATCACCCGCCCTTACAGCCCTCACCGCTTCATCCCTCTCCCTTCTCACTGCTTCAACAGCCCTCGTCAGTTCATCCCTCTCCACAGTCACCCTTTCAAGAGCCAGCACCAACTCATCCCTCTCCCCCCTCACTACCTCAACAGCCTCCGCCAGCCCATCTTTCTCCTCACCCGCCCTTTCAAGAGCCAGCACCAGTTCTCCCCTCTCCCCCTCACTTCTTCCACAGCCCTTGTCAACTCATCCTTCTCCTCACCAGCCCGCTCAAGAGCCTGCACCAGCTCATACCGCTCCTCCACAGCACACTCCTCGCCTCGCAATGCCTCATCCCTCTCCTCCTCTGCTGCCTTCCTCGCGGCCTCTGCCCCTCCCACAGCCCTCTCTAACCCCTCCACCTTCGCCTCTGCAGCATCTCGTGCTCTTTCAGCCCCCACTCTCCTCTCCTCTGCCTCTGCCTTCGCACACACAGCCTCTTCCACAGCCTTCTCTAGTTCACCTGCCTTCGCCTCTGCAGCATCTCGTGCGCTTTCTGCCTCCGCCCTCCTCTCTTCCGCCTCTGCCTTTGCACGCACAGCCTCCTCCACAGCCTTCTCTAGTTCACCTGCCTTTGCTTCCACAGCATCTCGAGCCCCCTCTGCCTCCGCCCTCCTCTCCTCCGCCTCTGCCTTAGCTTCAAGCGCCTCCCTCTTTGCCCGCTCTGCATCTTCTGCAGCCTTCTCAGCCTCCTCCCGAGCCTTCTCAGCCTCCTCCCGAGCCTTCTCAGCCTCCTCCCGAACCTTCTCAGCCTCCACCCGAGCCTTCTCAGCCTCCTCCCAAGCCTTCTCAGCCTCCTCCCGAGCCTTCTCAGCATCTTCCTTCGCCTTCTCCGCCTCCCTCTCCCTCTCTTCCGCCTCACTTTGCCTCCTCTCTGCCTCCACCCGCCTCTCCTCCGCCGCATCCTTCTCCCTAACAGCCTCTTCCTTCTCTCTCACAGCCTCGTCTCTCGCCTTCTCAGCACCATCCCTCACTCTCTCCGCCTCCTCTCTCCTGCTTTCCGCCTCCTCCATCCTCCTTTCCGCCTCCGCCCTGCCCCTATGCGCCTCCTCCCTCTCCCTCTCCGCCTCATCCTTGCTCATTCCAGCACCAGCCATTCGTCTCTCCGCCTCATCCCTCTGCCTCTCCGCCTCCGCCTGTGCTCTCTCTGCTTCTCGTCTGCCCCTCTCCGCCTCCTTCCTCGCCTTCTCACCCTCCTCTCTGTCTCTCTTAGCCTCTTCCTTTGCTTCAACTGCCTTCTTTCTCAACATTTCAGCTGCTGAACGTGCTTGCTCCGATTCCTCTTTCCCCTGCTCAGCTTCCCTCCTTGCCTTTTCAGCCTCCTCTTTCGCCCTCTCAGCTGCCTCTCTATCTCGCTCTGCTGCCTCCCGTGCAGCCTCTGCTACCTCCTTTGCCTTCTTCGCAACCTCACTTTCTTCTCTCGCCTCTCGCTCTGCCCTCTCTGCTTCCCGTGTCCTCTCCTCTGCCTGCTTAACCCTTTCCACTGCTTCCCTCGCACTTTCTTCCGCCTCCTCTGCTCTTTTCTCTGCCTCCCTAAGCCTCCCTTCTGCATCCTCTCTTGCCTTGTCAGCTTCCTCTCTTGCCTTATCAGCTTCCTCTCTTGCCTTGTCAGCTTCCTCTCTTGCCTTGTCAGCTTCCTCTCTTGCTTTCTCAGCTTCAGCCCTCTCCACCTCCGCATCTGCCCGTGCTGCTTCTGCTAATTCCTTTGCCACCTCTGCCTCTGCCTGTTTCGTTTCTGCATCCACCTGCATTCTCTCAGCCTCGGCTTGCTTCCTCTCAGCCTCCTCTCTCGCTGTCTCTGCTTTCTGCCTTGCTTCTACTGCTTCTTCCCTCGCCGCCTCAGCCTCGGCTTGCTTCCTCTCAGCCTCCTCTCTCGCTGTCTCTGCTTGCTGCCTCACTGCCACTGCTTCTTCCCTCGTCGCCTCAGCCTCTGCTTGCTTTCTCTCTGCTTCCAATCGACCATTCTCTGCCTCCTCACATCGTGCCTCTGCATCCTCTCTCGCTTTCATCGCTACCTCTGCACTCTTTTCCGCCTCTTCCCTCGCCCCCTCAGCTTCCTCTCTCGCCCTCTCAGCTTCTTCCCTCGCCTTTCTCTCCTCCTCACTCCTCTCCTCCGCCGCCGCTGCCCTCTGTACTGCCTCCTCCCTTCCTTTCTCCGCCTCATCCCTTGCCTCTTCAGCCTCTTTTCTCCTCGCCTCACCCTCCTCCCTTGCCTTCTCGCTCTCTTCCCGCGCCTCCTCAGCAGCAGCCCTTGCTTTCTCTGCCTCGCGTTGCCTCTCCTCCGCCTTCTCCTTTGCGTTCTCAGCAACTTCCCTCCTCGCCTCTGCCTCCTCTCTCGCCTTCACAGCCTCCTCCCTCTCTCGCTCCGCCTCCTCCCTTCTCCCTTCCGCCTCTCTCCTCCTCTCCTCTGCCTCCTTCCTCCTCTCTTCCTCTTCCATTTGCTTCATCTCAGCACCTTCCTGTCTTCTCTCTGCCTCGCTCTTGGCTTTCTCTGCCTCCTCCCTTGCTTTCTCTGCCTCCTCCCTTGCCTCATCCGCCTCCTCCCTTGCGTTCTCCGCCTCGTCCTTTGCTTTCTCTGCCTCATCTCGCACCCTTTCTGCTCCCTTTCTCGACTTCTCTTCTTCCTCCCTTGCCTTCTCAGCTTCCTCTCTTCTGTTCTCTGCCTTCTCCCTCTCCCTCTCCGCCTCTTCTCTCGCATTATCAGCTTCCTCTTTCCCCTTCTCAGCCTCCTCTTTCGCCCTATCAGCCTCCTCTCTCCTCCCTTCAGCCTCAGCACGAAGCCTCTCAGCCTCGTCTCTCCGTGCCTCTGCTTCTGCCCGTGCCAGCTCCGCTTGCTCCTTCTCCCTTTCCGCAACTTCCCTTCTACCCTCTGCTTCCTCCCTCCTCTTTTCTGCCTCCGCTTGCCCTTTCTCCGCTGCTTCACAAGAGCTTTCGGCCTCTGCTCGTTTTGCGACCGCCTCCTCCTTACCCTTTACTGCCTCATCCCTCTCCCTCTCCGCCTCCTCCTTACCCTTTACTGCCTCATCCCTCTCCCTCTCCGCCTCCTCCTTACCCTTTACTGCCTTATCCCTCTCCCTCTCCGCCTCCTCCTTACCCTTTACTGCCTCATCCCTCTCCCTCTCCGCCTCCTCCTTACCCTTTACTGCCTCATCCCTCTCCCTCTCCGCCTCCTCCTTACCCTTTACTGCCTCATCCCTCTCCCTCTCCGCCTCCTCCTTACCCTTTACTGCCTCCTCCCTCTCCCTCTCCGCCTCCACCTTACCCTTTACTCCCTCATCCCTCTCCCTCTCCGCCTCCTCCTTACCCTTTACTGCCTCATCCCTCTCCCTCTCCGCCTCCTCCTTACCCTTTACTGCCTCATCCCTCTCCCTCTCCGCCTCCTCCTTACCCTTTACTGCCTCATCCCTCTCCCTCTCCGCCTCCTCCTTACCCTTTACTGCCTCCTCCCTCTCCCTCTCCGCCTCCTCCTTACCCTTTACTGCCTCCTCCCTCTCCCTCTCCGCCTCCACCTTACCCTTTACTGCCTCATCCCTCTCCCTCTCCGCCTCATCCTTACCCTTTACTGCCTCATCCCTCTCCCTCTCCGCCTCCTCCTTACCCTTCACTGCCTCATCCCTCTCCCTCTCCGCCTCCTCCTTACCCTTTACTGCCTCCTCCTCTCCCTCTCCCCCTCCTCCTTACCCTTTACTGCCTCATCCCTCTCCCTCTCCGCCCCCTCCTTGAACTTTACTGCCTCATCCCTCTCCCTCTCCGCCTCCTCCTTACCCTTTACTGCCTCATCCCTCTCCCTCTCCGCCTCCTCCTTACCCTTTACTGCCTCATCCCTCTCCCTCTCCGCCCCCTCCTTAAACTTTACGGCCTCATCCCTCTCCCTCTCCGCCTCCTCCTTACCCTTTACTGCCTCATCCCTCTCCCTCTCCGCCTCCTCCTTACCCTTTACTGCCTCATCCCTCTCCCTCTCCGCCTCCTCCTTACCCTTTACTGCCTCATCCCTCTCCCTCTCCGCCTCCTCCTTACCCTTTACTGCCTCATCCCTCTCCCTCTCCGCCTCCTCCTTACCCTTTACTGCCTCATCCCTCTCCCTCTCCGCCCCCTCCTTACACGTTACTGCCTCATCCCTCTCCCTCTCCGCCTCCTCCTTACCCTTTACTGCCTCATCCCTCTCCCTCTCCGCCTCCTCCTTACCCTTTACTGCCTCATCCCTCTCCCTCTCCGCCTCCTCCTTACCCTTTACTGCCTCATCCCTCTCCCTCTCCGCCTCCTCCTTACCCTTTACTGCCTCATCCCTCTCCATCTCCGCCTCCTCCTTACCCTTTACTGCCTCATCCCTCTCCCTCTCCGCCCCGTCCTTACACTTGACTGCCTCATCCCTCCCCCTCTCCGCCACTCCCCGTGCTGCCTCCGCCTCTTCCCTCTCCTTCTTCGCTTGCTCTTTCTCCTCTTCCGCCTTCCCTCTCGCGCTCTCAGCCTCCTCCCACCGTGCCTCTGCTTCCTCCCTTAATCTCTCTGCCTCGTCTCTTCTCTTCTCCGCCTCCTCTTGCTTCGTTTCCGCAGCCTCACGTGCCCTCGTCGCCTCTTCTCGTTCCCTCTCCGCCTCCTCCTTCGCCTTCACAGCCTCGTCCTTCTCCTCCTCCGCCACCCTCCGAGCAGCCTCCGCCTCCTCCCTCTCCTTCCACGCCTGTTCCTTCTCCCCTTCAGCTCGAGCCGTTTTCTCCTCCGCATCTCGCCTCCCCTTCTCCGCCTCCTCTCGCCTCCTCTCCGCCTCCTCTCGCCTCTTCTCCTCCTCCGCCAACCTCCCCATCAACACTTCCTTCTGCCTTTCCACCTCACTCTTCGCCTTCAACACTCCATCTCTCTCCTCCTCCGCCTTTCTCCTCCCCTCCTCCACCTTCCGCCTCTCCTCATCCATAGCCTTCCTCACGGCAGCCACGTCCTCATCCCTCCTCACCTCCACCTCCCCCCTCTCTCTCACAGCCTCTGCCATCCGCTGCTGCGCCTCCTCACACCTCTTTCTCGCCTCATCCCTTTCCGCTTCCACCTCACTCAGTCTCCTCTCCACCTCCTCCTTCTCCTCCCTCACCTTCCCAATCGCATCTAACGCCTCTTTCTCAGACGCAATTCGTTTCTTGTTATCCTTGGTCAACCTCTCTACCCTCTCTTTCAAGCTGTCATGCACGAATTTATACTTCCCAACCTCAACTTCCATAACCATAATTTTCTCCTCCATCTCCTTCATTTCCTTATCTCTCTCTCCCACTGCCCCCACGCCCTTCCCTCCGCCTTTGCTCTCTGCCAATTCCTTCTTAAGCTTTTCAATCTCCGCTTTCATCTCAGCAGCGCTGTCTTTCGAGACTCCCTCCTTTTTCCACGCCTCAATTTCTTTTGTCATCTGCCCGATCTGCTCCTTGGCAGCCTTCAGCTCCGCCTGTAAATTTTCCACGTTCAGCTTCAGGTCCGCGTTTTTTATTCTCAGCTGCCCGAGCTGCACTTCCAGACCAACGTCGCCCGAACCAGCTTCAGCCGAACTAGCCCTGAACGGGCTCGTCGATCCTACAGCGCCGGTTCCGAACCGTGCCGAACCTAGCGGTTTGGGGGAGGAGCTCCTGTCTTGTCCAGCCATTTGCTTGAAAGAAGCAACTCGATCTGCGACACTAAGGCTGGGAGTGACTTTTTTCTCGGGTAACTTCTCCTGGTTACCCCCTCGTACCCCTCCATCTGTGGGTAACCAGTCCTGATTATCCCCCCGAGGTGTACCACCATCCGCGGTACCGGGACGGGGTTGAGAGGCTAGGTCAACGGGAGGAGGCATCTTATCGAAGGGAAGAGGAACCACTTTCGACTGTGTATTAAGCGAGGATTTTCGCATGCGAGGCGTGAATGAGAAAGGAACGAAGGTGAGGCGATGGTGGTTTCGGATAAAAGGTGTGCGAGTCCGTCGAGCTTCTCTCTTCATTTCGCATCCGAAAGTCTGTGGATTCTAACCCGGCCTTCCGTACCCGCTATACACAACCCCGCCATGAAACTATAATCTATGGAGTTGACTGTTAGATAGACCTGTAATTGCTGCGATAGCTCTAGAAAGCTTGGCTCTGATCTTGCAAATGTTAGACCCAGGTAAGGTGAAAGTGCTAGGAGTTAACTTAGGTCAAATTGACTACAGACGCAGCGACAGCAGAGTCGCAAAACCGGATAACGTGGCTTGGGTTCTCCAGAGACTACAACGCCGGAGGCAGGAACACCTCAATATACTGTCAGAAAACACTCAGAAGAGCAGCGTGAACCATCGGCGGCCATGGATTGGTGTTGCTGTGATCGCGCGGTTGGTTGTTGCTGGTTCTCGTGGTCTTGAGGTAGGGGGTGCTGCGATGCATTGAGAAGGCTCATTCCCAGCAGTATTTGAGGGCTAGTTGCAGACCAGATTGCATTCGTCAGCTCAAAAATTACTAGCGTGGTTTTCGTGAAGCAACTCAAAATCGGCAATATTGCTAACGAAACGTGGAATCAGCGACTCTCATGCGAATATCGGTGACGTTTTTCTGATCGTAACGTGGTCTTGCCTGAAAGTCTTCAGCGACGAGTTCACAGTCTCAGCACCAGAGTTTGACTCTCGCCCGTCTTTTGTAAACACGCCTTTTCAACTTCCAGACATTGGTTTGAAGCTGGCGAACGACTCGTGGTACCGATGATGTCGCATGTCCAGATGGTCGCAACCGAAATTATCGTCGTACACTTGTCGCACTGAAGGGGCCGTCGCCCATGGTGTCAGAACAAACAACTTTCCCGCCACGTCGTACGACAAATCTCAGCCACACGAGTTGCTTAGGGTCAAGTTATGAGCTCCAACGGCATTGTAAATTTGATAACCTTGTTGCAGACGGCCTCGATACAGTGTCATGTTTTTCTTCCTCCCTATCTTTGCAACACACGTAAACAGAGTTCGGGCTATATCGTAGCACGCCTCAGACGTGATCTCCCCTCGGTCTCCAATTTGTGCCTTCAGGGCGTGTCCAGCGCGTACCTATTTGAAATCACGCGCAAAATAGTAGCCAGGTACCTTTAAGGTTTCGCGTCCAGAAAAGTGTGGAAAGACACAATATACCTTCAGCACAAGTCGAACGTCAAGTTGCGCAACAGTGGCGACAGCACTGTAACCAGTCGCGACAAGGATTTCTGCTTCTCGAGTGAATTTCCCCGAGTGGGGTGAGTTGGCTTCGAGCCGCAAATTTGACAGAATCGAGTTCGCAAGATTGAATTTCGTGTGCCTCCACAGATTTTTCGCGAAATTCAATCTTGCGACTCGGACATGTGCAAGTCTGAATTCGGGGTTTGTTACGTGCGTTTCGCTTCGGCACAATTGTGGCCTGTGACCAGTTTTACGAATCGTAGGTGTTAATGTCCAAAGAGGATGTTTAAAAAGAGGCTACACTTAGGTGGTAACTGTAGCGCCTGGTAAGCCGTGAACTTACGCTGGACACGCCCTCAGAAGAACCTCGTTCTTCGAGTGCCTGAAACCTGACACGCGCAAGCCTCCTTTTGAACAAAAATCACATCCCACGCCGCAGCAGTTCGACCAACGCGGTGAGATGGAAAGGCTACCTCTTGACTGAACCAGGTTTGTGTCTTGGGGTACGATCTGGGTGGTTCATGCAAACGAACTTCTCTTAAAGGAATTTTTTCATTCCTATTTTCTCTTGCTCAGTCTTTTGAGGCGATCCACTCGTCGAAACGCCGTTGTCATTGCCGTTGAAGAGGTCTCCTTGGGGCTTCGCAGCACCGTAGCGCAGCCATGGACTTGGCGACGGCTGTCGCGAGGAGGCTAGAGGACGTCGGTTACTCCTTGGCCGACGCGAACGCTCCTTCGCTCGTATGTCGCGTTCCCTCCTTCCGTTTCGCCTCCCGAATCCCGGACCCCTTCGTCGCGTTTCGTCGTACGGTGTCATAGAGCACATTTGCGCGGCAGCAGCATATTTCTTAGGCGCCGCAAATGTCGGTTCGTCTTACCATTGCGCGGTAGCATACTAAGGCGTACAAGGCTCCATTCAGTTGACTTTTGAGTCGACTCAAAAGTCACATAGAGCACACCTGCGACGCAGTACAGTAGCATATTATGCCGCACGGGGCTCCATTCTTACCCACTCGTTTCGCAACATGATGAAATTCTCATCCAACGCGCCAACTTTTCACACCGCACTCTACCGCACTGTATCCCCAGGGGGAGGCTGTTGACCTGCTCTTAAACCACACGGAACAACGCCTGCACTTCCTGGATTGGGCCTTCACCAGGTAACACCTGCACCAGATACTAGCACAAGCACCTGTACGATTTCGTAGCACTTGAACCATTGACGGCCTAAGTTTGAAGCTGCATGCGACTTTCCAGTTGTAGCTATGTTCCAGTCACTTTGCACCCTTCTCATCTGCAGCCACGTGTCATCCGCACCTTTATATAGCAGGCATGTATGTACGCATATTCACACCTTCTTTACACATGTGTGTATGTTTGTATGTGCAACCTTGAACCCATGTATATCTTCTCTTGCTTTCCGTGCCTGCGCGTGTGTGTGAGAGGCAACAGGATGGTGGTGTCTGTACACACAAATCTAGAAGCAGTGGTTTAGGGAACTCTCAAAATTTACTTGCTTCCCGTGCGTGTGTGCGCGCGTGAGTGCGTGTGTGTGCATGTGTCTGTGTGCGTGTGTGCGCGCGTGAGTGCGTGTGTGTGCATGTGTGTGTGTGCATGTGTGTGTGTGTGTGTGTGTGTGTGTGTGTGCGTGCACGTGTGTGTGTCTGTGTGCATGTGTGCGTGTGTGTGCATGTGTGGGTATCTGTGTGTGTGTGCATATGGGCAACAGGATTCTGGGCTCCATGCACAAAAAGCGCGACCGGGCTGCAGCGTCAGCGGATCAAGTTGACAGTGTGGAGAGCCGTAAGACATGCCGTGGCACTCACTTGCGAGCGGCTTTTAATTCTCCTCAAAAGTCCGCTCGCAAGCAAGTGTATCACGTGCTCTAAAAACATGTCAGTTACCGACATGTGTCAGGGCAGAGCATTGCTCTCAGCTTCGCGAGTGGAGCACAGCTCCATGCGAAGCTGAGAGTTTTCAGCATGTGGCAGAGCAGAGCAGAGCAGATGATGGAGAGGTGAAGCTGAGAGTTTTGAGACGTCTCTAAAGTCACATGCTTTAAAAACGTATCAGTTACCAGCATGTGGCAGAGCAGTGCAGAGTAGAGAAGATGATGGAGAGGCGAAGTTGAGAGTTGTCAGCTCCATGCACGAACTTGTTCTCTGTGCTTGTTTGTACCCGTGCTCGTCTTGCTGCTGCATGCCCAGTTCGCTTCTCAGCCTTTCACCACTCATTTCATCGCAACACACACGCAGACCTCCCATGCTATGAGCGTGTCTCCCATGCTACGAGCGTGTCTCCCATGCTACGAGCGTGTCTCCCATGCTACGAGCGTGTCTCCCATGCCACGAGCGTGTCTCCCATGCCACGAGCGTGTCTCCCATGCCACGAGCGTGTCTCCCATGCCACGAGCGTGTCTCCCATGCCACGAGCGTGTCTCCCATGCCACGAGCGTGTCTCCCATGCCACGAGCGTGTCTCCCTCCCACATCCTATCCCGCCCTTGTCATTATCTGTAGCACCACCATCACTGTCACTTTTGAGTAAACTAAAATAGCCCTCCCACATTCTCCCGCGCGTCCTTCTGGTGATGTTCAATCCAACCCTTTATCGCCACCCCTCCTCACCACCCATCCCATCCAATCCTCATGCTGCCTGTCCCTGCCATCATGCCATGCCATCCCACCAGGCGTGTGTGACACAGCAGTGCTGCTGGGTCTGGCTCAACACGACGGGCGGGACGCGGCCACGGTGAGAGAATTGGAGCCCCAGGTAGGAGCCGTGTCTCTACGTGGCAGCGACTGTCTGTAGAAGTTGGTGTCAGTAAAACATGGCTGCTGGGTCTGGCTTAACACGGCGGGTGGGACGCGGCCACGGTGAGAGAATTGGAGCCCCAGGTAGGAGCCGTGTCTCTACGTGGCAGCGACTATCTGTGGAAGTTGGTGTCAGTAAAACATGGCTGCTGGGTCTGGCTTAACACGGCGGGTGGGACGCGGCCACGGTGAGAGAATTGGAGCCCCAGGTAGGAGCCGTGTCTCTACGTGGCAGCGACTGTCTGTAGAAGTTGGTGTCAGTAAAACATGGCTGCTGGGTCTGGCTTAACACGGCGGGTGGGACGCGGCCACGGTGAGAGAATTGGAGCCCCAGGTAGGAGCCGTGTCTCTACGTGGCAGCGACTGTCTGTAGAAGTTGGTGTCAGTAAAACATGGCTGCTGGGTCTGGCTTAACACGGCGGGTGGGACGCGGCCACGGTGAGAGAATTGGAGCCCCAGGTAGGAGCCGTGTCTCTACGTGGCAGCGACTGTCTGTAGAAGTTGGTGTCAGTAAAACATGGCTGCTGGGTCTGGCTTAACACGGCGGGTGGGACGCGGCCACGGTGAGAGAATTGGAGCCCCAGGTAGGAGCCGTGTCTCTACGTGGCAGCGACTGTCTGTAGAAGTTGGTGTCAGTAAAACATGGCTGCTGGGTCTGGCTTAACACGGCGGGTGGGACGCGGCCACGGTGAGAGAATTGGAGCCCCAGGTAGGAGCCGTGTCTCTACGTGGCAGCGACTGTCTGTAGAAGTTGGTGTCAGTAAAACATGGCTGCTGGGTCTGGCTTAACACGGCGGGTGGGACGCGGCCACGGTGAGAGAATTGGAGCCCCAGGTAGGAGCCGTGTCTCTACGTGGCAGCGACTGTCTGTAGAAGTTGGTGTCAGTAAAACATGGCTGCTGGGTCTGGCTTAACACGGCGGGTGGGACGCGGCCACGGTGAGAGAATTGGAGCCCCAGGTAGGAGCCGTGTCTCTACGTGGCAGCGACTGTCTGTAGAAGTTGGTGTCAGTAAAACATGGCTGCTGGGTCTGGCTTAACACGGCGGGTGGGACGCGGCCACGGTGAGAGTGGGGGTGAGGGTGAGGGTGAGGGTGAGGGTGAGGGTGAGGGTGAGGGTGAGGGTGAGGGTGAGGGTGAGGGTGAGGGTGAGGGTGAGGATGTGGGTGGGGGCGAGGTTGAGAGTGAGAGTGAGGGCGAGAATGAGGGTGTTGGTGAGTTCTTTCGCATGTTCTTTTTCCAGCGCCGTAACCCCCTGGCCTGTCATATGATGAACCACACCCCAGGCATCCCATCTGCACCAATTTGACTTTTGAGTCGACTGGAATGTTACTTCGTTACAATGGCACACGCCAATTTTCGAGTCGACTCAAAAGTCGCCCTGCCATATGATGAACCACACCCCAGGCATCCCATCTGCACCATGTCACATGCACCATGTGCTATGCTCCACTAGCATGCACCATGTGCTATGCTCCACTTGCATGTACCATGTGCTATGCTCCACTTGCATGCACCATGTGCTATGCTCCACTTGCATGCACCATGTGCTATGCTCCACTTGCATGCACCATGTGCTATGCTCCACTTGCATGCACCATGTGCTATGCTCCACTTGCATGCACCATGTGCTATGCTCCACTTGCATGCACCATGTGCATGCACGATGTGCATCATCCCTCAACCTACACATGCGCTACGGGCAATGCTCTCCTTCACCATGGACTATGCTCTCCTGCACCATGGACTATGCTCTCCTGCCCCATGGACTAAACGTAACATAACATCACCCCATTCATGCATCCCCATGCACCTATTCCCCATTCATGCATCCCCATGCACCTATTCCCCATCCATGCATCCCCATGTACCTATTCCCCATCCATGCATCCCCATGCACCTATTCCCCATCCATGCATCCCTCCCCATTCACCCCTATCCACGTTCCTCCCATTCACCCCTATCCACGTTCCTCCCATTCACCCCTATCCACGTTCCTCCCATTCACCCCTATCCACGTTCCTCCCATTCACCCCTATCCACGTTCCTCCCATTCACCCCTATCCACGTTCCTCCCATTCACCCCTATCCACGTTCCTCCCATACACCCCTATCCACGTTCCTCCCATTCACCCCTATCCACGCTCCTCCCATTCACCCTCAGGGAGTAGGCGGGGTGCCAGAGCGAGCAGCATGGTTGTTGGACGTAGCTCGCCGCGTGGAGGATGTAGCGAGGTTACGGGGCAGGTATGGCTGGCAGGTGAGAGTGCGGTGCAGAGCAGTTACGGCATAGTGGAGTGCCATTGGAGGCACAGGTAATGCAGCAGGTATGGCCTGGCTTGGTACAGTTGATCTGGACCAAGAGTCGTCGAAGCAATTCCCATTGGTATCAGTATCAGCAGGCTGGTGATTGTTTCCTTCTCTCTTGGCACAAACAACACAACACATGCCATCATCAGCTGCTTCCTGCCTCTGTGTGCATTGCACTCCGTTTCCCTTCTCACTTTCAATGCGCCATTCTCCACTCCCCGTGTCTCGTTTCCTCATATCCAACGTGCAACCCTTTCAGGCTGGCAGATCAGTTTGTCTTCTCTGGGCTCTTACACGCCGCCATCAGCGTTTTTTACTCGACTCGAAAGAGTTTCCTCACCCCCCCCTGCACAACCCTGTAGAGCTGCCAATCCTGTCGGGCTGGCGGATCAATTGTCTCTGGGCTCTTACACGCCGCCATCAGCGGCTGCCGGTGTACTTATCCCGTGCGCTCCTCCATGCTCTTCCATTCCCCATCTCCCCCATCCCCCATTCTCAGGCACGAGGACCACCTCACATTGGGCGCGTATGCAGCGCGCTCAGCAGCCGCCTTGCTGCACGCCACGCCATGCTCCTCCGTCTCCCATCTCCATTTCCTATCCTCCCTTCCTGTCTCCCATCCCCCATTCTCAGGCACGAGGATCAGCTCGCATTGGGAGCGTATGCACCGCACTCAGCAGCTGCCCTGGTGGAACCGTCATCCTTCCCGCCCCTCTTCTCGCCCGACCTGCTCACCCGCGCCACTGCTCATGCTGCTGCCAGGTGTGACTCACCTTTTAGTCCACTCAAAAGTCGTCCTTGCCGCCCCTCTTCTCGCCGATGCTGCTGCCAGGTGCGAGTTGGTGGTGAAAGGTGAGAGGTGGTGGTGAAAGGTGAGAGGTGGTGGTGAAAGGTGAGAGGTGGTGGTGAAAGGTGAGAGGTGGTGGTGAAAGGTGGTAGGTGGTGGTGAGAGCGGAGAGTATGTTCTTTTTAAAGGAGTGGGAAGTGAGTCGCCTTTTGCTATTAGCGCCTCTAGTGCCACAGGCGCCTCTAGCACTAGAGGGCATGCATGCCCATTCTTCCATCTGTAACTGCATTCTTTTATTTCTGCTCCTCACTGCTCTCACTTCCCTTTCCTCCCTTACTAGTACTAAGCCCAAGCAACTCAAGGCCTGCTGTGCGTCCCTCCCGCTCCTCCCAGCAGCAGGGGGGACTGCATACAGGAGGCAGGGCAGCACCTGGTGGAGCTAAGGGAAAGTTTTGAGTCTCCCATACTACGAGGTTCAACCGCCCCGCTTCCCCCTTTGCCGCCTCAAAAACAGACCCCACCGCTTTCCCCACTCCCTGCAGCAGCAGGGGGGGCGGCATAGAGGAAGCGGGGCAACGATTGGTGGAGCTGCGTTTTGAGACGTCTAACAACCTGTGCATCCCCATCGCTCCCCCGCACCTCCCATTATCACACCTCCCATTATCAGAGACAGCAGGGGGGACGGCATAGAGGAGGCGGGGCAGCGGCTGGTGGAGCTGCGGGAGAGGAAGCAGCAGATCCACGATGACACCATCCTGCTGGCTGCTCAGGTGGGCTGTAGGATGTGTGTGACAGTACGCCGAGTGGAGTTTGAGTGACTCGAATATCAATGAAGTAATGGCAGCGGCTGGTGGAGCTGCGGGAGAGGAAGCAGCAGATCCACGACGACACCATCCTGCTGGCTGCTCAGGTGGGCTGTAGGATGTGTGTGACAGTACGCCGAGTGGAGTTTGAGTGACTCGAATATCAATGAAGTAATGGCAGCGGCTGGTGGAGCTGCGGGAGAGGAAGCAGCAGATCCACGACGACACCATCCTGCTGGCTGCTCAGGTGGGCTGTAGGATGTGTGTGACAGTACGCCGAGTGGAGTTTGAGTGACTCGAATATCAATGAAGTAATGGCAGCGGCTGGTGGAGCTGCGGGAGAGGAAGCAGCAGATCCACGACGACACCATCCTGCTGGCTGCTCAGGTGGGCTGTAGGATGTGTGTGACAGTACGCCGAGTGGAGTTTGAGTGACTCGAATATCAATGAAGTAATGGCAGCGGCTAGTGGAGCTGCGGGAGAGGAAGCAGCAGATCCACGACGACACCATCCTGCTGGCTGCTCAGGTGGGCTGTAGGATGTGTGTGACAGTACGCCGAGTGGAGTTTGAGTGACTCGAATATCAATGAAGTAATGGCAGCGGCTGGTGGAGCTGCGGGAGAGGAAGCAGCAGATCCACGACGACACCATCCTGCTGGCTGCTCAGGTGGGCTGTAGGATGTGTGTGACAGTACGCCGAGTGGAGTTTGAGTGACTCGAATATCAATGAAGTAATGGCAGCGGCTGGTGGAGCTGCGGGAGAGGAAGCAGCAGATCCACGACGACACCATCCTGCTGGCCGTGCAGGTGAGGCGTGGGATCACACGCAGCATGTCATCACAAGGGGGTGGGGCTGTGGGCCATGCATGTGGGCTGTGGGGCATCAGGCAAATGCCGGGGAGAAGGTCTTGGGATGGCTGTCCTGCCAGTCAGTTGTCCTGGATGCGTTTTTTTGTTTTGTTTGTTTGTTTGTTTGTTTGTTTGTTTGTTTGTTTTTTTTTTTTTTTTTTTTTTTTTTTTCTCCATCAGAATGTGGTGGACCCTCTGAAAGGCCAGATGGCATCCGTGTTGACTTGTCAATTTTTAGAACCCTGAGATTGACTCACTGCCTTGCTGCCTGTCCTTGTCTCCCCCTTCATCAGTGTGTGGTGGAACCTTTATGTGACCAGAGCAGAGCCAGCAGCACCCTGCAGCTGCTGACGAGATTGCGTTGCTGTCTTGCTGCCTTCCTTCCTCCTCTCCCACTCCCCTTCCCCTTCCCCTTCCCCCTCCCCTCCCCCATCAGATTGTGGTGGAACCTTTACACGACCAGAGCCAGCAGCACACAGCAGCTGTTGAATAAATTACCTTGCTGCCCTTCCTTCCCCATTCCCCCCTTTCCCCCCCCCCCCCCCCCTTCTCCACCCACCCACCCCCATCAGTGTGTGGTGGACCCTGTGCGCGACCAGAGCCAGCAGTACACGGCAGCTGCTAACGAGATTGTGATGCTGCCTTCCTTTCTCCTCCCCCCTCCTTCTCCCCTCCTGTCCTCCCTCGTCCTCTTCCCCCTCCTTCCCCCTTTTCTCCCCCCATCAGTGTGTGGTGGACCCTCTGCGTGACCAGAGCCAGCAGCACACGGCAGCAGCCGATGCCAATCTGACTGCTGCAGTGCAGCGCTACCTCTCTCTCGCTAAAGAGGTCGCTTCTAAAGTGGACAGGGTGAGTGGGAGGATAGAGGGGATACCCCAACACAAACTCCCTTTTCTTAAAGTTCGAATGCGATTCCTGAGGTGCGTCAATGTGTGTCTCAACTCAAAAACTGAATGGGGTGCATCAACCCAGCCACTAGTTCTCTCACATGCTCATGTTAGTCAATACATGCTCGTGTCAGTCAATACATGCTCATGTTAGTCAATACATGCTCGTGTTAGTCAATACATGCTCATGCTAGTCAATACATGCTCATGTTAGTCAATACATGCTCATGTTAGTCAATACATGCTCATGTTAGTCAATACATGCTCATGCTAGTCAATACATGCTCATGTTAGTCAATACATGCTCATGTTAGTCAATACATGCTCATGTTGGTCAATACATGCTCATGTTAGTCAATACATGCTCATGTTGGTCAATACATGCTCATGTTAGTCAATACGCGCTTCCTCACTTTTGGTAGAGCGGTAGCTTATTGAGCGAACACAGTACGAATTTCCCGTTCACCCCCCTTTGCCCCCCAATGCCCTCCCCGTTCACCCCCCTTTGCCCCCCAATGCCCCCCCCGTTCATCCCCCTTTGCCCCCCAATGCCCTCCCCGTTCACCCCCCTTTGCCCCCCAATGCCCTCCCCGTTCATCCCCCTTTGCCCCCCAATGCCCTCCCCGTTCATCCCCCTTTGCCCCCCAATGCCCTTCCCGTTCATCCCCCTTTGCCCCCCAATGCCCTCCCCGTTCATCCCCCTTTGCCCCCCAATGCCCTTCCCGTTCATCCCCCTTTGCCCCCCAATGCCCTTCCCGTTCATCCCCCTTTGCCCCCCAATGCCCTCCCCGTTCATCCCCCTTTGCCCCCCAATGCCCTTCCCGTTCATCCCCCTTAGCGCCCACATGCCCCCCTCTCTTCCCCCCGGTGCCCCACCTGTGCTCCCTATGCCCCCACGTAGCGCCCCTTTTGAGACGTCTCAAAAACCCACCTGTGCTCCCTATGCCCCCACGTAGCGCCCCTTTTGAGACGTCTCAAAAACCCACCTGTGCTCCCTATGCCCCCACGTAGCGCCCCTTTTGAGACGTCTCAAAAACCCACCTGTGCTCCCTATGCCCCCACGTAGCGCCCCTTTTGAGACGTCTCAAAAACCCACCTGTGCTCCCTATGCCCCCACGTAGCGCCCCTTTTGAGACGTCTCAAGAACCCACCTGTGCTACCTATGCCCCCACGTAGCGCCCCTCTAGGACCTGCTTCCCTGGATGCACTGCAACCACTCCCCCTTTGTGCCCTCTGCTCCCCTCTCCCTGTGGCCCCACCCCCCCCACATAACACCCCCCCTGGACGTGCTCCCCTGGATGCAGCACAACGGAACCCCAGACGGGAGCCACAGTTTTTAGATGGCAGCAACTGATTTTTGAGTCCACTCAAGAATCAACCCACGTAACGCCCCTCCAGGACGTGCTCCCCTGGATGCAGCGCAGCGGAACCCCAGACGGGAGCCACAGTCTTTGAATGGCAGCAACTGATTTTGAGTGCACTCGAAAGTCAACCCACGTAAAGTCAACCCACGTAACGCCCCTCCAGGACCTGCTTCCCTGGATGCAGTGCAACCACTCCCCCTTTGTGCCCTCTGCTCCCCTCTCCCTCCCTTCCAGGACCTGCTCCCCTGGATGCAGTGCAACCTCCCTCCTTCGTGCCCTTTGCTCCCCACCCCACCCTTTTGCTCCCCATTCCCCTCCTCTGGGGCCCCCATCCCCCCCCTTTTTCCCCACAGGACCTGCTCCCCTGGATGCAGCGCAACCCCCCGCCTCGCCCCATCAAGATTGGCCCTCGAGCCTCCGCTGTGCTCTCGCAGCACTCCGCTCTCCTTCAGGTGGGCTCCCATCCCAGGTGCCTCCCTCACTCCCTCCCTCACTCCCTCCCTCACTCCCTCCCTCACTCACTCCCTGTTTTGAGGCGCCTCAAACAAGACTCTGCTGTGCCCTCTCAGCACTATCTCCTACAGGTGGGCTCCCATCCCAGGTGCCTCCTTCTCTCACAGTGAACGTTCGAGGAAACCTACTTCTTGTTGTCTTGGCCTGAATTATGAGACTCTGTCAACCACACTGCTGCATTCCAGTGCTGTCAATGTCTTCTCCCCTCTGTCCTTGTTACTCTTTCTATCACCCTCTCAATCACTCGCTCAGCTTGTAACTTTCTTCGTGGTTTCCTCACTCACTCACTCCTTGCTGTGCACTATCAGCTCTCAGCTCTCTGCTCTCTGCTCTCAGCACTATCACCTCACATACATCCACGCACCCACCTCCTCCCACCCACCCTTCCCCCACACGCACTCAGATCCTGGCAGGGCTGCAGGTGGTGCAGGAGAGGGCACCGGCGCTGCACGAAGCAGCCACCGTGTCAGCCGGCACAGCCACATTTCAGGTGAAGGCGTGGTGGGGTGCGGTGGCAGCAGCGACTGCTAGCACGGAGGAAAGCATTCAGTCTCTCCGGGCGGAAATCGCAGCTCTGACTCAGACGCACGCACAGGGTCAGGTGCAGGCACGGCGCAGGTGAAGTGAAGGCGTGCGTGGTGGGATGCCGTGCGGCAGCTATTGCCAGCACAGAAAAAGGCATTCAGTCTCTCCGTTCAGCACAGAAATCTCAGCACTTCTCAGGCACAGCCACAGCCACGGCGCAGGTGAACTGAAGGCGTGCGTGGTGGGATGCCGTGCAACAGCCACTGCCAGCACATAGGAGACAATTCACGCCCTCTGGTCCAAAATCACAGCACTTACTCAGGCATAGACACAGGCACAGCCACGCCGCAGGTGAAGGTGTGGTGGGGTGCGGTGGCAGCAGCGACTGCCAGCACAGCAGGAAGCATTCATCCCCTCAATGCGGAAATTTCAGCTCTAACCTCCCCGGCTTAGACATAGATACAAGCACAAGATTCTGAGTATGGGAAAAACAACATAACACAGTACCTGATGGTGGATTGCAATTGTTCAGTCGTGAATTGGGTCCATCAGTTTGTGCGCATTTGAGTCTATTTTTTAGTATACTAAAGAAAAAGGCTCGTCCGTTGGGTCGGTTAGAATGTGTGTATCGAGTCTATCGTTGGGTCCAATTAACAAATAAAGGCTCGTTGATTAGGTCAGTTGGGATGTATCCATCGGCAATGCAGCATGTCCATCATCATCTCTGCCCTTTCCTCCCCATTTCAATTCGCACGACATGTGTATGCATAAACTCACAGGACGTGTCATTGCAGGAGTACACCGAGTGTAGCAACCATGGCCTGAAAACTTGATGTATGGAGCTTGATAAGCCGAAATTAACACTAGCAATTATGTTCATAGAGAAGCCAGCACATCTTTGCTGGTAAGCTCTCTAAGCTTTGCTGGCTTATCAACACAAGTTGGGTGCCATATTTTACAAATACAGGCAATTGACGTTTACAAGAATCAATGCACCTCATCATCAACCAATTCACCTTTTTAAACTAAATTCCTTATGCACTACTTTTATCGCGTTACCCTATACCGCTTCCTTGGAATTTGGGGGTGGTGGTGGAAGCAAAAGCACCAACTCTTTAGTAGATAACTACCGTAATCGCCCGGATATAAGACCCCCCCCCCAGTTGTAGACCCCCGGGTCTATAATACGGACGTGGGTCTTATATTTGGGTATGTTTTGTTATACCCCCCTTTTTGGCTGAAAACATTATAAGACCCCCCACCTTTACAGCGAACGTATGATTTTTTAATAGAATAGAGTCGTTTTGTGAAGGAGAACATAATGTTTCCTCTTCGGATGAAGTCACATGGGCATCGCACCGTCAATGTTGTGCATTCTTTTGTTTTTTCCGCCATTACGAGGCTCATGAATCAAAGCTTGACCAGTTGCGAGGGTGATGCCACCTGGCAAATGCCTGACTGTGCGATTCTCATGGTCTTGCTTTGAGATTCGTTTGACTTGATTGGCTATGTGGTTGTCTAATCTGAGAGCAATATCTAGATTTCACATTCACAAACAGTCGTCACAAAAACATCCTCTAAAAATGAATCAAACACCAACATGAGCTTTGCATTCAAATACAAGTGAAAAAAAACATGTTTATTTGTAAAGACCCGGGTCTTATATTACTATGACAATATGAGAAGACCCCCCACCATTTTTTCCCGTAGTTTTCATAAGACCCTAGGGTCTTATATCCGGGTGATTACGGTATGTGCCGGCCGGCCCTGGTGAAGATGTGGTGCGATGCGTTTTGAGCCGGCTTTGAACAGCCCTTGCGTGGTGGGAAACGGTGGCAGCATTCATTCCTTCCCTTCTTCCCTTGGCTCATAATTGATAGTGTCATCGCAGCAAACCAGCCCAGTCACAAACACTGTAGAAGTAGAGCACAGAACGGCATCTCTCGAGCGGTCAAGCCGTCAAAATTACCAGTTGAGAATTGAGATAAGGACAAAAAGGTATGATTGCACACTAGAATAGAACAAGGGTAAACAGTGGAACTGTAGTGTATGTAGATGAATGTGTTATATGCTTGATAGAAGAGAGGATGATGCTTAAAGCTTGTGACTATAAAGGGAAACTTGGAAAAGGTAGGATGCTTGATGGGATAAGGACTCAAGAGAGAATAGGAGGATGAAAGTTTGTTGAGAGAATATGAAAGGCGTAAACACTTACTAGATTAGATCTTACAAAGAGTAGTTGAAGAAGTAACTTGGAAGAAAAGGTTTCAACTTGAAGGCTTTACTTGGGAGTGACTTCAAGCCTTGGGTTGGATGGAGATCCTTCATTAAGCTTGTAGCTTGTAGCTTTCTTATGCTCTAGTAGAGTATGAGGTAAATTATTCTTCACTTGATAACTACTTTGAATACTAGATGAGAGTGACATTTGAAAGCATAAACTTATATTGAAAAGGGTATAGTACAAGCCTTATAGATCCATGAGGGATACATAGGCATGCATAGAAAGAGTAACCATCAATGCTAGTCTTGGAAGAGAGTTGAGTGAGAGTATCAACTTTGGATACATTGAACTTGAGTGCTTAGCAAGGAGCCTTCGTAGTAGAAGTTGACTTGAGTAGCATTGAAGGAGAAGTTTGGAGAGGAGCTTGATGAAGAAGCTTGGATACATTGTTGTAATTGAAGAAGTTTTTTGAGAAGTTGTAAAGCTTCTTGATGGAGTTGAATAGTAGTAGAGCATGTGGTGGTGGTTTGGGCACTTGATGAGATGAGGTTGTAGGCTTTCTTGAGTTGGAAGAGAGTTTAGTGAGTTGGATAAAGATGAATGGAGGTGATGAAGAGCTTTGTTGCCTTGGAATAGGAGGTGAGGAGATAATCATGATGTCCTTGAGGGATGAGTTAGCAACTTTGGTGACTTGGGAAAGGAAGGAAGGAACGAATACATGAGAGACATGTGGAGGTTGGTGTCTAAGAAATAGAAGCATGTGTTGGAAGGCACATGGAATGATGATTATTGGAGGAAGTATGAAATGATGAGGAGTCATGTGCCCTATGGTGGACCCTGGAGGTGAATAGGAAGAGTTGTTGGAGTCTTAGTTGAGTTTGATTAAGAATGGCTATGGTGGTTGGGAGTAATTAAAAGGAGGTTAGAGGACTTGGTTGGAAAAGATGAGTTGGAAAAGGAAGAGTTGGAGCTTGGATGGTTGGAATGGGTTTGTTTGGGTTGTGTAACTTTAGGAAGGTAAGAAGGAAGGGGGTGTTTCGAGGGGAAGGGTAGGAATGCCAAAGTGATTACCATGTGATACGTGTGCTATTCACAACACCCCACCTCACTGCAAGTCGTACCCTCAGATCCTGCTGCTGGGACTAACTTGGCTTGGACACGGTTGTTGATGAAGATGTCACGTGCAACGGCTTTGGTGAGGAAGTCCTCCAATTGCTCACTCTTGTGGCAAAACAGGGGCTCAACAATTTTCTGCTTCACAAACTCCCAGACATTGTGATATTGCGTCACGATGTGCTTGGTCCTCTCATGGAAGACGGGGTTCTTGGTGAGAACGATCGTCGACGTGTTGTCGATGAAGATGGGAGTGGGGCTCTCTTGTGGGAGGTCAAGCTCCTTCAAAAGACCTCTTATCCACACTGTTTCTCAGGCTCCTTGGGTCGCACCTTTGTAATATGCCTCCGTGGTTGATAAAGCCACACTACCAAGAGATGGCCGCCCCTCCAAGCATGAAGGTGTATCCTCCAGTAGACCTGCAGTTTGTAATATTCCCAGCCCAATTTGCATCCGTGAAGCTATACAGCATGCTTGCACCCTCAAACCCTTGCAAGAGGAGACCAAATGAAGAGGTTGAACTGTGATGGCGCAGGGCACGGAGTGCCCCACGCGGATGTAGGCGTGTCAGGGGGAAAGCCAAGGAAAACGCAGGGAATGGCGCGAGAGGAGAGCTTGCCTGCGGAGGTATTGCGGACAAAGGTACGAGAACCCCAGACCCGGAACGCGGACGCATCGCTGACCTCCCCCGTCCAACGAAGTGTAGGCGAGGTCTCCGGCAAGGAGCCACAAGTCCAGATGTTGAGCTGCTGCGCCGCGTACTGGACCGCAAACGGCCACAGAAAATGGGGAGCAGCCGCATGGATCATGGAGGTACGAGCGACCTCCATGACTAAGCCAATGCGGCGCTTAGCAACCCCATTCTTCTATGGGGAGGCCGAAAGCGTGAACGGATGGAGGATGCCCTCCCCCTGACAAAAGTCCCTCAAGAGGTCGGAGGAGAACTCACCACCTCTGTCAGAGTGTAGACGCGGGACAAAAAGGTCCGTGCGGAACCACTCGCGCTGTTGGAGACGGGCAGCTCAGATCTCAGGGATCAAGACACCACGGACTTCCCTTGCTGCGCAAGGGGAAGACCGTAGTGTAACGCGTGTAGTCGTCGACAACTTGCAGAAAGTATCGCTCGCGGCCCAATCCACGAATGCGGGCTGGGCCCCACACGTCCATGTGGAGAGTCTGCAGAGGAGCAGTCGTCGAGGGAAACGAGGAGGAGTGAGGAGCGGCGCACTGCCGCCCCTCGACGCAAGGAAT